TCCAGGAAACTAGATGGCTGAGGATGATGGGAAGAGCCTCTAATAGATACACCAGATTGTTCCAATCGGCTGTCTTTTAGATTTGTTAAGCTACAGTTCCTACCGGTTCCAGCCAGTGGGATCTCTGCTCAGCAACAAATGGCTGGAGCAGGGCTGATGGGATGGAAGTGGAACATTCAGAATAGAATAGAATAGAATAGAATAGAATAGAATAGAATAGAATAGAATAGAATAGAATAGAATAGAATAGAATAGAATAGAATAGAATAGAATAGAATAGAAGAGAAATTAGAATATAAGAAAATAGAAAATAGAATAGAGAATAGAGTAGAACAGAATAAAATAAAAATTAGAATAGAATAGAGAATAGAATAGAAAAGAAAATAGAATAGAATAGAAATTAGAATAGAATAAAATAGAAAAGAGAATAGAGCAGTGGTGGCGAACCTATGGCACGGGTGCCAGAGGCAGCACTCAGAGCCCTCTCTGTGGGCACACGCACCGTTGTCCCAGCCCCCCCCCCGTGGCCCCCTCCTCACCAGCAGCCCCCCCGGAAGAGAGTCGCCCCGGGTGCAGCCTGTGCAAAGCAGCACAGCCAAGGACATGGCAGCTGGGCGGCGGGGAGAAGACTCTGCCCTCGTGCCCCATTGCGTGCAGATGATGTTGCCAGGTGCGGACAGAGGGCATTGCCACCATGACGCTGCTGGGCCACCTGGGTGATCTGCTGTGATAGGCTGTGGAGGTGGTGGGTGGCCCTGCGGGCAGGAGATGTGGGGACGGGGCAGGGGCGAGGTGTCTAGAAGGTTGGCCATCACTGGAATAGAGAATAGAGAATAGAGAACAGAGAATAGAACAGAATAGAATAGAATAGAATAGAATAGAATAGAATTAATAGAATAGAATAGAATAGAATAGAATAGAATAGAATAGAATAGAATAGAATTAGAGTAGAATAAAGGTGGAATAGAATAGAATAGAATATAGAATTAATAAAATAGAATAGAATAGAATGAATAGAATAGAATTAGAATAGAATAGAATTAATAGAATAGAATAGAATAGAATTAGAATAGAATAGAATAAAGATGGAATAGAATAGAATAGAATAGAATTAGAATAGAATTAATAGAATAGAATAGAATAGAATTAGAATAGAATAGAATTAATAGAATAGAATAGAATAGAATTAGAGTAGAATAAAGATGGAATAGAATAGAATAGAATAGAGTATAGAATGAATAGAATAGAATTAGAATAGAATAGAATTAGAATAGAATAGAATAGAATTAATAGAATAGAATAGAATAGAATAGAATAGAATAGAATAGAATAGGAGCTGGAAGGGACCTTGGAGGTCTTCTAGTCAAGCCCCCTGCTCAAGCAGGAGAACCTATATACCATGCACACGTGAAAATCAGACACAAAGGCACTGGTAACACTCAGGTCTGCCCTTTGCTTCTATTAATCAGCCATTCCAGGTATCCTCTCTGCAGTTTGTCCCATCCATTTGTAAGCCTCTTTCCGTCACCTATATTTTTATTTATTTATTTCCTGCCTTTATTATTTTGATAAATAATTCAAGGTGACAAACACACACCATACTACTTCTTCCTCCTCCTACTCCCCCCCCCCAACAACAACAACAACCCTGTGAGGTGAGCTGGGCTGAGCGAAAGTGACTGGCTCAAAGTCACCCAGCCGGCTTTCATGCCTAAGGCAGGACTAGAACTCACAGTCTCCTGGTGAATGGCCCAAAGGTCGCCCAGCCGGCTTTCACGCCCAAGGCAGGATTAGAACTCACTGTCTCCTGGTGATTGGCCCAAAGTCTCCCATCTGCATTACGTGCCTAAGACAGAACTAGAACTCCCAGTCTCCTGGTGATTGGCTTAAGGTCTCCCAGCCAGCTTTCACGCCTTAGGTCAGTGTTTCCCAAACTTGACAATTTTAAGGCATGAGGACTTCAACTCCCAGAATTCCACAGCCAGCAACGCTGGCTGTGGAATTCTGGGAGTTGAAGGCCTCATGCCTTAAAATTGTCAAGTTTGGGAAACACTGCCTTAGGTGGAACTAGAACTTACTGTCTCCTGGCTTCTAGCCTGGTGCTTTAACCACTAGACCTCTATCCTAGCTAGACTTGTAAATCTGTATCCACTATTCATTTCGGCCTTTTCTCAGAAGGCAAACCATGGACACATTTAGTACCTTCCAATATTCTACTTGCAGTCCTTGGCATACAACTGGTGTAAAACAAGCTTTAACGTCATAATAACAGTCACGGCACTTTCTGATGTTTCTCTAAAAAAGGTCAGTTTAGTCCTTCTCAAAAGCTTAAGTTAAAAACAAAGGCACAGACAATTGAAACAGCAGCTGGTGTAAAGATTATACTGAATATTTACTCAGCTCTGATTCCTGCACGGTGACGGTTTCCTTTCCCCGTACAAGCACGGAAGAAACGAAAAGCAAGCAAGCAAGCAAAAGAGAGAACCGTCCCTGCACTCAATGGACTGCATTAATGCAATAAACGAAGACGTGCAAATCATTACGGACTTCAACAAGTAAACATTTCATTTTTAGCTTATGTTCTCTGCCTTTCATGAATTTTTCTTTTTTTCCAGATGGGATGACCCCACCCATAGCTCTTGGCAGGCTAAAATTTCGAAAAGGCCAGAGCCAGAACATAGGTGTACTTGTTCGTTCTACTTCGAAGCAATTCCCCTTGAAAGAAAGAAGGAAGAAAAAAGACGGAGGGACTTCTACACCCATGGAGACTCCACGGCTTCTCTTCTCCTCTGAAAGGCGTTGGACTTTCTCTGGCAGAAACCAAAGCAGAGTGCAAAAACAGGAGAATTCCAGATGAGATTGGAGGAACTCCCAGTATGCTACCAGTGAACCGGCCGTGGTTTGCCCACCATAAATTCTTGTCCAGGAGCTATCTTGATTCGAAGTAGTCCTTGACTTACAACTTTTCATCTAGTCATAGAATCATAGAAGCTGGAAGGAGCCTCAGAGATCTTCTAGTGCAGTGGTTCTCAACCTTTTTAATGCCGCAACCCCCAACCGGTCGTAAGGCGAGGACTACTCAACCGGTCGTAAGTCGAGGACTACTCAACTGGTGCAGCACCGTTTGCAGAATGGGACTTTTGGCGGGCTCAGCAGGGCAGAGACAGCCTGGACAATTCCTATTGGCTTTTGAAAGCCAATAGAATTAGACTCTTTTCAAGAGAGTCTATTCTATTGGCTTTCAAAAGCCAATAGAATAAAAGAGAGTAGCACAGCTAAGGAAAAGGGGGAAAAAATGGCGGACTGCGTTGTTTGGTGACCCCCGTGAAATGGTCGTTCGACCCCAAATGGGGTCCCGACCCACAGGTGGAGAACCACTGGACTAGTGCGTTCTAGTCCCACACACTAGTGAAATTGTGCACAAATTTCAACTTTGCAGAAACTGAAGCACAAAGGGAGAACCACTGAGCTAGTCCAACTTCCTGCCCAAGACAGGAGCTTTATACCATCCCAGTCAGATTATTTTGTTTAGCAACCAAAATTCTGGGCTCAGTTATTATAAACCATATTTACCTCCACATGTCTATCTATGCTCATCTGCCCATCATCTTTGCATTGACCGTCGTGGCCATTTGAAGTTACAATGGCACTGGAAAAAAGTGACTTACGACCATTTTCCACACTTACGACCATCGGATTCAGCTTTTTCTAGCACTTCCTTGCCATTTCTAGAAACGTCTACCAATGCTAAACAGATAAATAGTCTCCGGGTCATCCGTGGCTCCGGAAAGCTCTCCCAAATTGGAAAGTGCATGCATGCTACCTCTACTTCCGTGTGTAAAAATCAGGAAATATTTAAAATAAAGGCAGGGAGTAGGCAGCTTTCAAGGCAGCGATTGAGTGGGAACGGAATGTGCAAGGAAGAAAAAGAGAATCCACAGAGGAATACAGCTCTGCGCTGGGTTATTCACATTCCAAGAGATGTCAAGAACACTCTAGAGATGGGTGAAGTAGTGGAGAAGGAGAGAAGGTCAAACATATTTGCAGGGTGGATGGATTATCAAGCTTCTGAGGCCTATGAATTTTGTTCAAGAACCAAGGAGCATCCAGATACAGCTTGGCATTGGCCAGGGTGCTGTGAGTCTAAGTTCTAAAAGGTTACTGGTTCCTCACTCTGGAACTAAAGAGGAGAAGGAGAAAGGGAAAAGGGAGGAGGAGGGAGGGGAGAAGAAAGAAGGAAGAAGAAAGGAGAAAGAAGGAAGGAGAAGGTGGAGGAGGAGGAGGAGGAGGAGGAGGAGGAGGAGGAGGAGAAGAAGAAGAGGAGGAGGAGGAGGAGGAAGTGGAGAAGAGGAGGAGGAGGAGAAGAAGAAGAAGAAGAAGAGGAGGAGGAGGAGAAGAGGGAGAAGAAGAAGAAGAAGAAGAAGAAGAAGAAGAAGAAGGAAGGAGGAGGAGGAGGAGGAGGAGAGGAGGAGGAGGAGGAGGAGGAGGAGGAGGAGGAGGAGGAGAAAAGGAGGAGGAGGAGGAGAAGAAGAAGAAGAAGAAGAGGAGGAGGAGGAGGAGGAGGAGAAAAGGAGGAGGAGGAAAAGAAGAAGAAGAAGAGGAGGAGGAGGAGGAGGAGGTGGAGAAGGAGGAGGAGGAGGAGGAGGAGGAGGAGGAGGAGGAGGAGGAGGAGAAGAAGAAATATATATATATATATATATATGTGCAGAAAATCAGATGTACAATCAGATATAATTCTGCTTCTGGCTCATAGTGGACTATGGCTTATATAGCCTGGCAAATCTGGGTCTAAATCATGCCTGACTTAGCCCGTCAAGAGTTGGGAATTACAGCAGCTGCAATTTTAAATCACCTTGAGGGCCACTGACGTTCCACCCCTTGACCTGGATGGCCCTGGGGAGGCTTTGAAGCATCTGGATTCCCAAGGTAAGGAAAGCCCACCTTCTCCCAACGAGACAGGGGGAACGTGGGCAGCTTCCCACCCCCTTCCTCTACCTTACCTCGGCTCACGCGCTGCTTAGCCCCTGACAGGATGCCGGGAGTGTCTATAAGGCTGATGCTTTCCAGAACCTGGTTAGGCAAGTGGGCACACATAAACCTGGAGAGAAAGAAAACAGCAGAATAAAAGTCAAGCGATGGCTTGCACGCCAAGCTGTTCAGTTTTATTCGAGGCCTCTAAGCCACCTAGAGTCGCCTTGGACGGGAAGGGCAGCATACAAGTTTGATAAATAAACAAACAAACATATCACCCTGGTGGAGATAAAATTGCCCCCCTCCCCACCTTGACGCTCTTTTATGGCAATGTCCTGAAGACATGGTTCTGGGGTCCCCAGAGTGAGACAGACCCCCCCCACAAAACCCCATCAAATGGTTTTGTAGTAGAATTTTATCTTTGTAAGCAGCTCGGAGTCCTTGTGAGTTAAATTGGGGGGGCCCATATAAACTTTCTTAATAAATAAATAAACAAATGAATAAATATGTTTTGAAGGATTCTATTTTTAAATGGAGCATGGATGTTTTTAGCCATCTGAGTATTGCTGTAAAACGTTCAAGAGTCCCGTGGGATTGTGGCAGGGTATACGTGTAACAAATATACCAACAAAACATCCTTTATAATGGCAATAACATATGGAGCTATTTTCCAGGCTGGAATAAAAGAGGAGAAGGCGTAATCAAGGTAAATCAAAGCTTGTCTGGAAACGGGTTTTTTTTTTTTTTTGCCTGCTCAGATACAGGGAGTCCTTGATTTATAGCCATAACTGAAACGAGAATTTCGGTTTTTATTATTTCTTCATTTGTTAAAATTTTTGCGCTGACCTACGAGGTGATTCTGGGCGGCTTGTTAAGCAAGGCAGTTATTAAACGAGTCATGCTCAATTTTATGACCTATTTTGCCAGTTGTGTCACAGCGGTTGTGAAGTGAATCGAGCCGTCGTTAAGCGGATCCTGCTTCCTCCCCCTCACCCCCCCATTGACTTTGCTTGCTGGAAGACAACTGGGCAGGCCGCCAATGGCGATCACGTGACCCTGGGATCCTTTATAAATACATTATCAGTTGCTGAGTGTCCAGAACTGAATCATGTTACTGTGGAGTTAATGTGAGGGTTGTGAGGACCAGTTGAAAGTCCCTTTTTTTTAGGGCTGTTGTAACTTTGAACAGTCACTACCTGGATGGTTGTAAGTCAAGGACTATCTATGTTACTGAAACAGTGCACGCTAAAACATACAAACGGTATGTCTGGGTATGTCTGGTCTAATGTAGAGAAGGACTAGTCCAGGGGTAGGCAACCTTGGCTCTTTTATGACTGGTGGACTTCAACTCTCAGAATTCCTGAGCCAGCATGGGGGAACTATGGCCCCCTTCATGACTCGTGGACTTCAACTCCCAGAATTCCTGAGCCAGCATGGGGGAACTATGGCCCCCTTCATGACTCGTGGACTTCAACTCCCAGAATTCCTGAGCCAGCCGTGCTGAGGGGAAAGGGAGAGGTTTCAAGCTGAGCCATGCTGGCTCAGGAATTCTGGGAGTTGAAGTCCACCAGTCATAAAAGAGCCAAGGTTGCCTACCTCTGGACTGGGGGGGGGTGACATGATTGCAGTGTCCCAATATTTGAGGGGCTGCCACACAAAAAAAGGGAGTCCACTCATTCTCCAAAGCTCCTGAAGGCAGGACAAGAAGCAACGGATGGGAACTAATCAAGGAGAGAAGCAACCTAAGAACTAAGGAGAAACTTCCTGACAGTGAGAACAATTAACCAGTGGAACACCTTGCCACCGGAAGTTGTGGCTGCTCCATTGCTGGAGGTTTTCCTGAAGAGATTGGACAACTATTCGTCTGAAATGGTAGAGGGTTTCCTGCATGAGCAGGGGGTTGGACTAGAAGACCTCCAAGGTCCCTTCCAACTGTTGTTTCTCATTGGCAACATCTGCTAGTTTTTGCTTTCCTATCCTTTGACAGACCTCACGGCTGAGATGGATCTCAGTTTTGCATTTTGGAAAGGAGCCACCATGCTCCTCCTCCTTCTCCTCCTTTTCAGTTACCCCACAAGCAGCTGCTCTTTCTTTATTTGCATGGCTGAAGCTTCCGAGGAATTTTGGCACCGGCAGCCAGTCTCTGTGGTGGGGCCTGCAGTTCCTTGAGCCCAGCGGTAGCAAACTAACAATTCTGATTTTTCTTTCTCATTGTTTCAGAAGCCCCGAGAAGATGTCATAGACAAAATTCCCAATCAGCTGCCAAAAACCTTTTTTTAAAAAAAATAAATAAATTGAAAGCTATGAAGAGCCGGCCTGCTCTTTTTTTTCTATCAGAGGGAGAAGCTAATCAGGAAAGTCTCTCGCACATCCGTGGAATGGACCTGCACGTTGTTGATTAATCTGCTTTTTAAAAAGGGTGTAACTCGAGCATGATCTTGGAATGTCATGCCGATGTCTACTTCATGATGGGGTTGGGGGGCAAGAGAAAAAACAACAACATTGGGTTGAACTTCATTTCGTTTCGATTGGATTGAAATTCAGTTAATTCAAGAGGGTTAATGTCGCCGCTCCCGGTGAACTGAATTCAGCTTTCTGTCATCTTAAAAGGGACGATTGGATAAGAAATTTCATGGCTAAACCCAACATTTGTGGAGAGCTCCATTATAGCCCTTATATTTCAGATTGGGCTGGATTAAACCCATTAAAACTCACAACTCTGTTCCAACGACTTGACGATGTACAACCCCCTTCTGTACAGGTGACCCTCGGCGTACCACCACAATTGACCCCAACCTTTCTGAGGCTTCCCTCTTGAGTTTGCTTTGAGGGTCACAAAAAGGGACACTGCAGCCGTCGTAAGTAGGAGCCAGTTGCCAAGCGTCCGAATTTTGATCCCGTGACCAGGGGGATACCGCAACGGTCCTAAGTGTGAAAAACGGTCACAATTCGCTTTTTCCAGTGCCGTTGTAACCTTGAATGGTCCCTAACTGAACTGTTGTAAGTTGAGGACTGCCTGTTTTCTAGAGAGGCTGAGAAGCATTGTCCAGAATCTGACGCCAAACTGATTTGCAGCATAGAGTGATTTACAACTAGATCGAGAACGTGCTGGTGACTTTTGTCCGTTTCCACCTCCAATCCTATCCGTCAGTCCGTCACGTATGCTCTTCCCTTCTTCAACATTCATCTCCTCTACTGCTTTTGTGAAGTCTAAATCCAGTTCTGGAGTCCCAGCTGAGAGTCCCTTTAGCGGGGGAAGAGGTAAAGGCAGTCAGAATGGCGGCAACAGCTGCCAAATCTGAGCGGTGCCCAGGGTGGAGTTGACGTTTTACAAACGACTTGACAGAGGAAGAAGCACGGCCCACCCTTTGTAAACAAATATGCTAAAAATGGAGCTCTCTTCAAACTAACCAGAGGCATCGAATCCCAGAGTTTTCCGTTCTCTGGAGGTCTCAAAGGTGCTTTCCCAAAAGGCATCTGGGCTTCGTTTTTCCTTGGAGACATCTCGCTCTCTCCTCCAAGAAGCTTCTTCACTTCCGACTGAATGGTGGAAGAGGGAAGGGTTTATATCCCTTGCAGACATACATCCTTCCACCCTCCACCATTCGGTCAGAGCTGAAGAAGCTTCTTGGATGAGAAGCGAGACCTCCTCAAGGAAAAACACAGGAAGTCCAGTTGTCTTTGGAAAAAGCATCTTTGGGGCAAGCAGGACTGGGTTCCCTAAGACCTTCTCTGGAGGCAAAGGGCAGTCAAGAGTGATTTTGCTGAAGTTCTTCGTCAGTTGGCGAGATACATGGTGGGAAAAAAAAAATGAAAATAAGTTTTTGAAACCAGCCTTGACTGGATTTGCACCATATTCTAAACCAGTGGTTCTCAACCTGTGGGTGGGGACCCCATTTGGGGTCGAACGACCATTTCACGGGGGTCGCCAAACAACGCAGTCCGCCATGTTTTCCCCCCTTTTCCTTAGCTGTGCTACTCCCTTTTATTCTATTGGCTTTTGAAAGCCAATAGAATAGACTCTCTTGAATAGAGTCTAATTCTATTGGCTTTCAAAAGCCAATAGGAATGGTCCAGGCTGTCTCTGCCCTGCTGAGCCCACCAAAAGTCCCATTCGGCAAACGATGCTGCATCAGTTGAGTAGTCCTCAACTTACGACCGGTTGAGTAGTCCTCGACTTATGACCGGTTGGGGGGTCGCAGCATTAAAAAGGTTGAGAACCACTGTTCTAAACCCTGATTACAAAGGATAGGTTCACATAACCAACTATGCTGGAGCTAGATAAATTTACTAGGGCTTAGTGCAAGGTGTGAATTGACTTACTGCTGCTGGCCAGTCTTTCTCCCTTCTCCTAGCATAAATTCTAATATTCTTTGACAGCAGAGATTATTGTTTATTGGACTTCAGGATCCAGACAATGCCTTGATTTCATCTGATTGGTGCACACCCAATGAAGGAGATCAATAATCGAGAATGTCCCCAAAGTGCTTTTTCAAAAGGCAACTGAACTTTGTTTTTAATAATAATAATAATAATAATAATAATAATAATAATAATAATAATAAAGTTGGAAGGGACCTTGGAGGTCATCTAGTCCAACCCCCTGCTCAGGCAGAAAAGCCTACACCATTTCGGACAAATGGCTGTCCAGTCTCTTCTTAAAAACTTCCAGTGTTGGAGCATTCACCGCTCCTGGAGGCAGGTTGTTCCACTGGTTAATTGTTCTCACTGTCAGGAAGTTTCTCCTTAGTTCTAGGTTGCTTCTCTCCTTGATGAGTTTCCACCCGTTGCTTCTTGTCCTGCCTTCAGGCGCTTTGGAAAGTAGCTTGACTCCCTCTTCTTTGGGGCAGCCCCTGAGATATTGAAAGAATGCTATCATGTCCCCCCCCCGTCCTTACCAAGGCATTGTAAAGGGGTATTAACACTTCATGTGTTTCCTTGAAAACATTTCACTTTTCATCCAAGAAGCTTCTTCAGTTTCTACCACCAAGGATGTAGGGCTTGGTGTGTATGAACCCAATACATGGTTTACTCTGCAGACCATGATTTAAACAATGTGTTTATAATCTAGACCAGTGTTTCTCAACCTTGACAATTTTAAGACATGTGGAATTCTGGGAGTTGAAGTCCACATGCCTTAAAATTGTCAAGGTTGCGAAACACTGATCTAGACTAACTCTACAGAGGCTAAAGGATGGAAAAAGAAACTGCGAGGGCTTTTTCTCAGACAGAGAGAGCCTTTGAAGAACCATTTTCAAGGCTCACATTTAATTCAGACTCTTTCTTCTCTCCCCCCCCCCCATGCCTCTCAAGATTGGGCCTTCAATGGGTGGATTGCAGGAGGACAATGATGTGGTTTTTTTCCCCGATTAAATTTATAGAATAATATTTATTTATTTATTTTACGCAAAGGAGAAAGATGCCAAAAGATGAAGCTAGTGGCAAAGTCCTGGGGACTGCAATCTCAACTGGGGCAATAAAAGGATTTTTTTTTTCTCCCCGGCCAAGATAGGGTGAAGTTGCTAAAAATCCCCTCTTCTGACCCATGTTATGTACATTTCGGAGCTTTCATAAAAAGCCATAAAATGTACAGGGAAAGATTGATCAGGTTCAATATCTTTTCCAATCTGGCACTTTTCATAGACTCTTTTAAGGCTGGAAGGAGATCTTCTATCTAGTCCAACCCCCTGCTCAAGGCAGAAGTCCTTGGTTATCTAGTCCAGGGGTAGGCAACCTTGGCTCTTTGATGACTCGTGGACTTCAACTCCCAGAATTCCTGAGCCAGCCATGCTGAGGGGAAAGGGAGAGGTTTCCAAGCTGAGCCAGGCTGGCTCAGGAATTCTGGGAGTCGAAGTCCACGAGTCATAAAGGGATCGTAGTTCCCACATGCTGGCTCAGGAATTCTGGGAGTTGAAATCCACGAGTCATAAAAGAGCCAAGGTTGCCTACCTCTGGCCTAGAATACTTTATGACTGGTGGACTTCAATTCCCAGAATTCCTGAGCCAGCCATACTGAGGGGAAAGGGAGAGGTTTCCAAGCTGAGCCAGGCTGGCTCAGGAATTCTGGGAGTCGAAGTCCACCAGTCATAAAGTGGCCTAAGCCCTAGGCCAGGGGTAGGCAACCTTGGCTCTTTGATGACTCGTGGACTTCAACTCCCAGAATTCCTGAGCCTGCTGGTCTAGTCTGTTCTTGAAAATCTCCAGCCATGGAGCCTCCACAGCTCCAGAAGGCCAGCAGTTCCATTGATTAATCAGGAAATTCCTCTTTCTTTTCCAGGTAGGATCTCCCTTTGACCAGCTTCCACCCCATTGCTTCTTGTCCTGCCCTCAGGAGTTAAGGTGCGTTTCAGATGTGTTGGACTCCAAAACCTAAGATCCCCAATCGCTGCATTCCACTGCAACACATCAGTGATGTAGTACTGATCCAGGTCACCTGCCCACTCTTTGTGCCCAGTTTGCCCTACTGATGCCTTCTAGCTTTATAGGGATGACAGTTGCTATTGTGCCCACTGAACAGCTGCTGACAGGGAGGCTGGCTTAGGGTGCGGCACCGTGGTGGAGACTTAAGTTTTTTAAGCCCACTCAGCCCGGAAAGCTAAATTACAGGACTGTCAAGATCTCTCTGCCTAATCTGTTTCACAGGGTGGTTAGGATGTTTAAAAGTACCGCTTTACAATGCCTTGGTAAGACCACACTTGGGAGACTGCATTCAGTTTTGGTCATCGCAATATAAAAAAGACGTTCAGACTCTGGAAAGACTGCAGAGAAGAACGACAAAGATGATTAGGGGGCTGGAAGTCAAAACATATGAAGAACGGTGGCAGGAATTGGGTCTGTCTAGTCGATTGAAAAGGACTAGGTGTGACAGGATAGCCGTGTTCCAGTATTTGAAGGGCTGCCCCAAAGAAGAGGGAGTCAAGCTATTCTCCAAAGCACCCGAAGGCAGGACAAGAAGCAACGGGTGGAAACTGATCAAGGAGAGAAGCAACTTAGAACTAAGGAGAAACTTCCTGACAGTGAGAACAATTAACCAGTGGAACAACCTGCCTCCAGAAGTGGTGAATGCTCCAACCCTGGAAGTTTTTAAGAAGAGACTGGACAGCCATTTGTCCGAAATGGTATAGGGTTTCCTGCCTGAGCAGGGGGTTGGACTAGAAGACCTCCAAGGTCCCTTCCAAATGTGTTATTATTCTATTCAGCGTGCTGGAGGCAACCCTATCTAACTTATTAAAAGCAGGGAGGAAGGAAAAGAGAAACACTATGCACGCCATCATGGCAACCTGGAAGGTAAGTGCAGTGGGGTAAGCAGTTCTTCATGTGGATAATTTGTCCATATGTGGTCAGTACGCACACACACACACACACACACACACACACACACACACACACAATTTTTTCCAAGTTCAGTGCCACGTGGCATACTGCAATTAATAAACGCCCTGCTCTGGAATGATGGATGCCCACCGCCCTACTTCTCTTTCCTTCAAAGCTATACCTTCAAAAACTACAGGCAAATGGAAAGGGACCGGTAACGATTTGGGATACTCACCGGTTGAGAAAAGTGTTTCCAAAAGGGTTGAGTTTTCGGAAGGGCTTTTTGGGGTCGACAATCAGAGCGTTGCCTGGTATGATCCCCTCCGTTTCACCGTGCATGACAGCAATGAAAGAGTCTGTGGTAGGTTCGGGTCCAATTCGGCTGCCTGGGATATCTTGCTCCAGCAAATACTTGATGAAGGTGGTCTTGCCGGTGGAGTACTGACCCACCACAAGCACCATGGGCTTGTTGTCAAAGTCAGCATCCTCCAGAGCTGGTGAGTGGAAATCGTGGAAGCGGTAAAACTCTTCCACGGGAAGGAGCTTCCTCTTGTAGAGGTCCTTCAGGCCCTCCGTAACGGTGCGGATGACCTCCGGGGTCTTCTTCTCGTTCTTTTTCATCCAGCTGAACATACTGGCTGCCCTGAGAACACGGCGCTCTGCCTGCTTCCTTGGCAATAAATTCTAAGCCCAGGTGAGGGTACAACTAAAGAGAAGAAAAGCTTTGGCAGAGAGAACCATAGACCTTAAAGAGAACTCGATCTGGAATGTCAACAACGGGCAAGGCCCAACGGTCAAATCCAGGGACTTGGATCCAGCTAAAACAAACCCCCCCAAAACCTAAGCTACTGAAGAGTATCCAGCACGCTCATGGATTCTTCAATCTTTTAGGAATGCCAGGTCTCCAACGTCTGTGAACTTCTAGTAGTGAGCTGGTGGTAGGAAGTCCAGACGTTACACTCGATTTCCTGGAGAGAGAGGGAGAGATTCTTCCTCGGAGAAGCTGATGGTCCTTCGGTGTTCCTCCAGTTCTCAAACTTGCTTCCTCCCAAGCTTCAGGTGAAAGAGACCCGGGCTTCACCTTGGCGTAGGAGCAACGAAACGAGCCGAAAGGGATCCTTCTAGATGAGGGATCACTGGGCTTCTTCAGCCTTTGAATAAGATACCTCTCTTGGTTTTCGGAAAGGCTGTGGGAAGAGGCAAACAGCCAGCAGAAAATATGTTGCAGACGAGGGCAGACCGGGACACAAAGATCCACGCTCTAATGTCCCACTCGCTTTCAGATGGAAAATCCCTCTTGGTGGTTTGTTTGTAGAAATCTTGATTTCCCCCCTCCTTCCCTCCCTCCCCCCACTTCTGAGGTCCCAAAGAATATATCAAGAGTTCTCCGGCATGAAAAGAAGCTGGCTGTCAAGAGGAAGTGCAGGGAGAAGAATACATTAGCATAAATTATCCAGGAAGGGGGGAGAACGTCGGGATGGCCAAGAACTGGAGAATAAGCAATGTGCAAAAAAAAAAAAAAAAATGATGCACACTAACACACACACACACACACACACCCCAAGTGAAAGGAATGTGGGTTTGGCAGTTAAAGGTCTCTGATGCCACCATGTGGTTTGGAGAGGAAAAAAGTAAAAGCAACAGAAGTGGGGGGGGGAGAGAGGAAGGAGAAGGATGAAAGTCCAAATTTTGCAAAGAACTGTAGATGATCAAATGGGTCTCACGGAACCAACTATAGAATCTTAGGGCTGGATGGGGATCCAACCCCTTGCTCAAGATCAGTGGTTCTCAACCTTTTTAATGCCGCGACCCCCAACCGGTCATAAGTCGAGGACTACTCAACCGATCGTAAGTCGAGGACTACTCAACTGGTGCAGCACCATTTGCAGAATGGGACTTTTGGCGGGCTCAGCAGGGCAGAGACAGCCTGGACAATTCCGATTGGCTTTGGAAAGCCAATAGAATTAGACTCTATTCAAGAGAGTCTATTCTATTGGCTTTCAAAAGCCAATAGAATAAAAGGGAGTAGCACAGCTAAGGAAAAGGGGGGAAAAAATGGCGGACTGCGTTGTTTGGCGACCCCCGTGACATGGTTGTTCGACCCCAAATGGGGTCCTGACCCACAGGTTGAGAACCACTGCTCAAGATAAAGAGTCCTTATACCATCCCGGTTTGTCTGAGTCAAGAAAACATCTCTTTGTTCTCAAACAAGAACCTTGAAGCCTTCGCAGCCAATTTGCCAAATAGAGCCCCCCCCCCCCCTTGAGAAAACAACGGAGGAGAGATTGCTGAATGTTCCCATCTGGGAATGTCAAGGCGAGATACCAACCTGCCTCCGGAAACAAGATTCCAAGGATGCAACTTGCAGTAATTGCGGGAGTGCCAAGTAAGGGTAAAGGTCAAGGTTTCCCTTTCTTTGGAGACCCTCGGTCCTCCAGGTCCGTGGTTGTCCAATAGGTGCCGTTTCAAAAGGCAACTGGACTTTCTTTGCCTTTCCTTAAAGACATTAGAGAAGGACGAGGGGGGACATGATAGCAGGGTTCCAATATCTCAGGGGCTGCCCCAAAGAAGAGGGAGCCAAGCTATTCCCCAAAGCCCCTCAAGGCAGGACAAGAAGCAACGGGTGGAAACTCATCAAGGAGAGAAGCAACCTGGAACTAAGGAGAAACTTCCTGACAGTGAGGACAATTAACCAGTGGAACAACCTGCCTCCAGAAGCGGTGAATGCTCCAACACTGGAGGTTTTTAAGAAGAGACTGGACGGCCATTTGTCCGAAATGGTATAGGGTTTCCTGCCTGAGCAGGGGGTTGGACTAGATGACCTCCAAGGTCCCTTCCAACTTTATGATGATGATGATGATGATTTCATTTCTCATCCAAGAAGCTTCATCAGTTCTGGCTGGATGGTGGGGAACGGAAAGATATATACTCCTTGCAGACAGCTGGTCATTTGCATCCTTTTAGAGTCGTTGAGGCCACTTGGAGCTTTGTCTGTGTCCTCAGGGTCAGCTGAGTGGTGCAAATGGGGATGGAGCCTTCTTGGACTTGCCGAAAGGAATGTGTGTTGTGGAGCTGTGCTTTCTGCAGGCTGTCGTTTCTGCCCCCCCCGTCCCTTCATTGCCGAACACAGGCGCAGGCTGAAAACAGGTGGCAGAAAGCACAGCTCCACAGCATAGTTCACTTAGTGACCGTTCAAAATTACAACGGCACTGGGACTTACGACCATTTTTCACACTTGTGACCTTCGTAGCAGCCCCACGATCCTGTGATCCAAATTCATAGGCTTGGCAATTGATCCGTACTTATGACCGTTGCGGTGTCCTGAGGTCATGGGATCCCCTTTTGCGACCTTCCGACAAGCGAAGTCGAGGGGGAAGCCACTCAACAAGCATTAACTCATCACCTGCAGCGATCTACTTAACGACGGTGGCAAGAAAGCTCGTAAAATGGGGCAAAACTCACGCAACAAATGTCTCACTTAACGACAGAAATTCTGGGCTCATTTGGGGTCGTTAAGTCGAGGACTGCCTGTAGTAGTAGTAGTAGGTGAAGGTGTCAACCAGAGAATTTTTGAAAATGATAGCAGTCCAACCTAAGTTAGAGACCGTTAAAATTAGAGCTACACTGGTATTTATATATATATATATATATATATATATATATATATATATATATATATATATATATATATATTATATATATATTATATATATATAGCTTTAGAATACCTATGTTTAATATATATATATATATATATATTATATATATATATATATATATATATATATATATATATGCTTTAGAATACCTATGTTTAACCACAAAGCATATATATGTTTTCTGAGGTTTTCGCGGGTATTTGTATGTAGGTCTTTGGTTGTTCGGGTTTTCTCCCGCGTAAAATTGGAAGTGTCTTGGCTGGGGGAGTGTTCTGTTTGGTTGTGTTCAGGTTAGTCTGAGTTGCAGAGGCAGCCCAAAATCTCAAACCCCTCTGCAACTCAGACTAACCTGAGCACAACCAAACAGAACACTCCCCCAGCCAATCAGAGCACAGCCAAGCCCCTAACCATTCAGAACACACCTCCACCCAATCAGAACACAGCCAAGCTCCCACCCAATCAGTTCATACCCCCACTGGCAGTTAAAAGGAAGAAACAGCTAAGACCACACATTGCTGCTCAAAGCACGAAGCTGAAAACACCAGCCTGAAGATGACGAATGGGACTTCGTCGAAACATCGCCAAGACACTTCCAATTTTACGCGGTATTCTATATGCTTTAGAATACCTATGTTTAACCGCAAAGCATATCCAAATATGAAATTAAAGCTCACCTGGTTTTGCTTTTCCCTGGGTGGGACCTGCCTCCTCTCCTTGATTTCAGAAGTACTGATCCAGCCGTTTCTACTATAATAAACTCTGAACGATTGTAAGGGTTATTGCCAAATCCATCAGTAGCCATTTCCAAATTAAGCAAGCCTCAGATTTTGCATCAGCAATCTGAATTCTGCAATCAGAATAAACACAGGGCTGTAGAAAACAATGGCCAACTTTGATTCTGATGTACAGTGTGCATGTAAAAAGTATTAGGTTGTCTGCAGTAAGGTCAGACCCACTGCCATTTGCTCTTTGTATGAGACCCAAGCAGGAGTCCTTCTCCGTGGACTTTTTGGTTCTTTCCAAAGCAGTTTTTTCTTTCATTCAAGAAAAGCCAAGCCAATTTCTATACCATTTTTAAAAAGAGCAATTTAATTTACACAGAAGTACTAAATGTACATAATTCTTTTAAAAAATCGTTATACACAATAAATACAGTACAAAATTATTTTATAGTACTATATTTTGCTTTTGAACAATGTTCAAAACTGGTACCAGCAGGAGGAAAGAAAGAAAATGTGTTATTTCTTTCTGTCTATGGAGATTCTTTTTTGTGATTTCTTTCAAATATTAAAACAAGCGGGGTATTACTTTTGGCTCCCTGTTATTTGTTTGTATTGGGTAGGAAAGTAGAAAGAGCTGGAAGAATGTAAATGTATGTTCTTAATTTTTAAATGTCCTTTTAGAACTATCCTCTCAAAGCCACTTAAGATCAAACTTGGTGATTAGTTAAAATTAGGCAGGTGGAAACTTCCCAAAAGTTGTAATCAATATCTCTCTTTTTTCCCATAACCTCCCCCCTCTATCATAGCAACATCTGGCTGGCTGTACAACCAACCATAATAATAATAATAATAATAATAAAATAAAATAATCATAATCATAATGAAACTTTTAAGCGCAAAGAGATGGGAATTTCTCTTATGGTTTTGTGCCTATGAAAATTAAGGGGGGGGGGAAATCATCCCCTTAACACTTTGTTCAAAATACCGTTATGTTCAAAAACAAAGCAATTGTTTTTGTTCAAAAAACAAAAACCAATGAACAAATGAAGAATTTGTTTTTGTTAAAAAAAACAACCAATTTAAAAAAAAAACCAATAACTTTGTCCAAAATGTTGGAAAAGGTGTAAGATATACTTCTTCATAACAGTGCACATTAATTATTAGGTTTTAATTGAAAGAGAAGGACTTTCCAACTTAACCCTATTGCAGTAAGAAAAAAAAAGGCAATCAAAGCTTTGGGTGACATGGGTGGCTATACAAATTTGATTAATAAATAGATAAAAACCAAATGAGCTAACATCCCAAATCTACACTTTTTAAAAGGGGGGGGGGGGAAGGACACTAAACGAAAAGCCAAACAATTTCATATACATTTCTCTCTATATATTTATATATATAAAAAAGAAGAAGACCCATCAACATCCCTTTTATTGCTTCCTAACCATTTGTTTATTCCCCCCCCCCTCTTCCTGGCATAGTAATAAGGTTGAGAAATCACAGTTGCGCTGTAACTTTAGCAAATGCTGCTTTTCACAAACACCACATCTGATTTACTTTGCGATGCTCTTTTGACAGCTGCTTATTACATGAGTATCCAAAGCATCTTGCAGGTGCTACGGCTCTCTTTGAATTCAATGGAGGGAAAAAATGCATGTGTGGTCTATTGCACATGTGCTGGTAAAGCCTACATGCACAGGCATGCTCTACCTGGAGGGGACTGGATCGCAAACTGCACGAACGTATTGCTAAGGGCAACTTTCTTCCAGAAGGCGGTGGCAAATGTCCTGTAATGGAGAGCGGGGAGGAGGATGGAAAAGATCAACCTGTGCTTTGAGAACAGACGAAAAGCTTCCTCACCTTAATCAGAAAGATACATCGCAACGCGTGTCGCCTTACCACCCCCAAAAAAAGCCAAAAATTAAAATAGGAGCTATACTATTCAATTGCACACTGCTACGAAGCATAAAGAGACAGGGACACAGTAGCTTTTTGGACATAATCCCTCGGACAGTTTTCAGATTGGGAATTCAAGAGAACTAATTTCTGTGGAATGCTACCTTTTCAAGAGGATCTGGAGCCTGATCCAGCAATCCTTCCTGCAAATTCTGATGCAAGTACAATTTCATATGCACAAGGCACTCCGCGAATGGAATACACGAAGCTGGGAAGCTGCCGGGGTGTGCCATTTCTTAAGCAAGTCGGAACCCTTTGCAAAAAAGATGACCAAGAGACTGAAATACAAAAATGTAGACCTCTTAACTCCCCCCCCCCTTTTTTTTGGTTCTGCTCTTTTCCTAACTTCTTCTTTTCCAGTAAATTTCATTTTTAAAGTCCCAAATATTCCCTCCACCTCCCCCGCTTCACGAGACACAGTTTAAAGGAGATGGAAGTGATGCTAATGAATAGTCTTGGATCCACAACAATTTCTTTTAGCATTTTCACATTGTATATTTTAGGTTAAGAGGGACTGCTGATATTGCTCTTAGCTTTGGAAGTTAGTGCACGGTAAAGAATTTAGTCTGGCAAGGGACAAAATCCAGACGTCAGAAAAATGAATGCAGATGTATATTTTATATCACATAATGAATAGAAAAGGATCTGGAAAAAGAAATGAAATGCAAGATGATACTAATGGGGTTATATATCCTGATCTCTGAGGGGAAAATTATATATATATATATATATATATATATATATATATATATATATATATATATATAATTTAAATAGGCCTAAGTTGTCACTTTTTTTATTTAGTTAAAGTACACACACTGATTGGTCCTCTACCTTTGAATTTTAGAACTGATTGTGTAGGTATCTTATCAAATATGCCTTGAAGCCGAGTAGCTATATTTAAAACATTTGTATGATAATAAATGTATGTTCAAATAGGCTTGTGGGCACCAAATTAATAAAGGAGAATGAGACAATAATATAAATAATAATAAAGCAACGACACCGTATGCGTGCAACATACTCCTATTGGGGAACAAGGATGAGGCAAAATTGCTCAGATCACTTCTGTTCACACAAGTGGAATTGCTTTCTCCTCTCCTTCTTTCAGACCAAGTTGCCTTTGAATTGTGTTTCTCAGTCTTGGCAATGTGAAGGTCTGTGGACTTCAATTCCCAGAATTCCCCAGCATAGCTGGCTGGGGAATTCTGGGAGTTGAAGTCCAGACATCTTAACATTGCCAAGGTTCAGAAACACAGTCTTAAAAGCAGTAGTCTTCTTGAAAGCACCAAAACTACAGTATTATACGAATGTATGTAACTCTTGTGTTTAAACAAACTGATCATTATTTCTTTAAACGGATGTATCAAATGAAGACATGGGTGATATTAAGGCTTTATTTGTGCTTGTCGTTTGGAGAGGGGAAAAATTAGCAAAAGGAAGATGCTCAAGAGCCTTAGGTTTTTTGCACCTAAAAGATCTAAAATTTATTCACTGTTCCAACTACCAAATCATTTTGGTGAGTTGACTTTAAGAACACATGTTTATCCGGTTTTTGTAAGTTTAGGTTTAGTCTTTTAAAAGAAGCACGCCCAATTTCACAAAAGGACCCCTGAAAATAGGTGTTTGCTTTGTTATTTTGATGTGAAAAATTTAGACTTGTTTGTGCCTACAGATTTCCCATTTTTGCACCCTCCTCCTCGAAAAGTGGAAGAATATGCTTTTTAAATGAAGTTCAACATTTCTCAGGACATTGTCTACATTTGGGCAGGCAAGAATGGGACAAAGAGAAGAAAAATATCAAAGATAACATTGTTTTATAGCTGCCTGCAAAAACAAAACTCCACCAAACATAAAAAGAAGAGTGAAGGAACCCAGAAAATATCTGCAACAGATTTGGATGTGGAAATTAAGCTTAAAGTGGATTTTTTTTTTCTTGGAAAGAAATGAAGCCGGAGAGTAAATGAAAGGTTTACAGCAATGGCTAAATACAATTCCTTTGGCACATTTCCAAAAGGACAACTTATCCCCAAGTTGAACATTTTGGATCTTGCTTATTGGTTTATTTGAAATTTGAAACTTGAAATTCGAAGCATGAAATTTTTCGTGCAGGTAGTGGGGGGAAGGCAATGTCACAAATCCAATTTTGCAGCCTGCTACCATACTGGGCAGTTCTGACAGTGATGGTTGGGCAAAGAGAGAACAGCATCAGCTGCTTTCTGAATTGCACGGAAGGTGGCATGTAAGTCTTTCAATTTTAGGTAACATACAAATTTGGGAAAAAGCAAATGCAAACTGAAGGTTAATGGTAGCTAAAAGGGGCACATATACTAAATTAACTGTGCTCACAACTGGATCAGTCCCAATAAAAATACAGAAGGTACTGTTGGCAGTTTGATGAACTACTAGATAAAAACAATGTATCGCCCTCTTATGTAGGAGCTTTCAACTGCATACTGAAACAAAAACAAGAGAATCTTCCTCTTTGTTTACAGGCAAGAAAGATGACTACTACTGTTAAGATGCTGGTTAAACACCTGCTGTTTAAAAAGAAAGGTACAATTATTGTCCAGTCTAACATGTTTATCTACTTGCTTCTTTCTTTGCTAACTTCGTACATCAACTAAGAGAGCTTGGTACAATAAATCAAGCTTGTGCTCTGACACTATGAAAAAAAGAAGATCCATTACCCCCGTTGTTTTGTCCTCTCAGCTCCAGCAATCTATATTGTAGAAAATCTATTTTTTTTTTACAAAAAGGGGGGGTGGGGGTGATTTCTACATGCATATCCAAATGGTACAGGTGACAGCCACCAAATGCTTCCCCCCAAAAGACTGATCTTTAGGTGAGCTGAGTTTATGTAAACAATTCTATCCGACATACGGTTGTGACAAATGTACTGAATTGGTTTCTATCTTTCACTTCGTTTCTTTCATACGGTTAGGAAGCCATGTCTGTACCTCTAAATTCCTTCCATAATATACCTACTGTAATATACAGTAACAGAAAGAGGTAGAATTGCAGTGAGGCCACAGGAACTTTTGATACTTAAAAACAGAAGAATACAATTTCGGTTTGTTTTTGCATTAAATTTCTCACCTGGAGTTTACTTTTTCTGACGCTTACTAGCATTAAGACTCAAGCCGAGCACTATACGGTTATAGCTTCACTGGACCACTGGGTCGATAAAAGATGACGGAAGAATGGCCAAATGAAAGCTAGCTGCTACGGAGCCTCTGTGAAAACTCAAAAGATTAACACTTGATGTGGGGTGCTACTGCTGTAATAGAACCAGAAAGAGATACAAATTAAGAAAAGATAGTCAGTTTCCATCACGGGTTTTTTTTTTGGCAGAAAGAGCAAAGAAGCCTTCAAGCTATAAAGAATTCTGTGCTGGACAAGAGGCATGACTTCACAGCCTAGATCAGTGTTTCTCAACCTTGACAATTTTAAGGCAGGTGGACTTCTACTCCCAGAATTCCACAGCCAGCAATGCTGGCTGTGGAATTCTGGGAGTTGAAGTCCACCTGCCTTAAAATTGTCAAGGTTGAGAAACACTGGCCTAGATAATAGCAAAGCTACTTTTACATGGTTACAAATAAGGAAGGAACCGTCAGCTTTTTGAATCCACTGGTTTTTGTAACATCAGCACCAGCATCATAACAAGCCATGAAAAAGTGAAAGGGTTTAAAAAGGACTCCTGTTTTTAAAAAGAAGCAGCCTAAGAGCAACGGTCTTTCATACTGCCTTCTTCGCTAATAGACTTGTGTATTGTTCTAGTCTAACCGTATGCCAACAAAAGGATCTCCTCAGTTAGGTTCCCCCCCCCCGGCAGAATCCAATTAAAGAGGAACAGAACAAGCGCCCAAGTCCTCAAAGAAAGCTAAACAATATCATCTAAAACAGCGGGTTGTATTGCCAATCAGTACACTTACAGCAGTGGTTCTCAACCTATGGGTCGGGACCCCATTTGGGGTCGAACGACCATTTCACGGGGGTCGCCAAACAACGCAGTCTGCCATTTTTTTCCCCGTTTCCTTAGCTGTGCTACTCCCTTTTATTCTATTCTCTCTTGAATAGAGTCTAATTCTATTGGCTTTCCAAAGCCAACAGGAATTGTCCAGGCTGTCTCTGCCCTGCTGAGCCTGCCAAAAGTCCCATTCTGCAAACGGTGCTGCACCAGTTTAGTCCTCGACTTACGACCGGTTGGGGGGTCCCAGCATTAAAAAGGTTGAGAACCACTGACTTACAGGATGAAAATCACCACCTACAGAGGAAGTAGCAATAGACAACATCAGTAAGACGTACAGGGAAAAAGAAAATAGGGGGTTGCAAAAGGTTGAGCACTATCTTATTAGGCCCTGGAAACTAGAAGAGGAAAGACTTGGGTGAACACCCTTATCCATGAAGCTTACAACTAACAGAGGCCAGAAGCCCAGACTCTAAAGATCGGGGTGGGGAACCATGGCCCTTTTATGACTTGTGGACTTCAACTGCCAGAATTCCTGAGCCAGTCTGTGTCACAAAAGGGCTATGCTTCCCCCCCCCAACTGCTATAGAAAATGCCATTAGAAGGTGCAAAAGGAATTAGATTTTTTTTTTTTAAAACCAGCGTAGCAGTGAATACTTTTGTGAAAGGCTGCCTCTTTAATTATTTCTAGAACTGGGACTCTGGGGCAGACAGATCTGTTTTGTATGCCTGCTGCCCGTTAGCCCCTTATACTGATTTTTTTTTATTTTACCAGGCCAGTGATAAATGAAGGCTGTATCCTATTTCAACATTCACACAAATGATTCCTATGACAGCTATAATGTGGGAAAGACATTTCCTTTTATGCTTATCTATACATCAAGATTAAAAATGTGCGTGAGTTTGGAAACTGCTTGGCACGTCTTGTTTCGATTCACAGAAAGCTTTAAATGAATGGGAAACCTCTAATTTGGCAGGGAGGGAGGGAGGTATTACTGACTTCTTGTCGGACAAGTCTAATAGTCAAATTCCTATATTAAATCCAGCTTGTGGGGGGGGAGGGGGGAAGTGGTGGACAAATTGTGAACCGCTGACATGTGGAAACTACGAGTGAAGTGCCTGTCAATGAACTATAAGCATGTGTCTAGTGAGAGACCCAAGTAAATCTGAAAGGATGGGCGTCTTTATTCCCATCAGTGAATCAGAACAGCAGAGCCAAATGGGAAAAGGAATTCCAAAGGAAGTGTGGGATAAGACCCAGAGTAACGCGGATTCACCCAGGTTCCATGGGAAATTTTAGATAAGATCAACTGGATAGCAAGGGGAACTAAAAATTACTTCGTTTGGATATGAACTTTGGATACGAGTACTAAAGTAACACTACTGTTTTCTTCTCCAGGTGACTACTGGGGGCTGCTGAGACCTTCCAACACAGCCATGGCCCAACCGTGTTTTAAAAATAGGAACCACCACAGAGAGGACTGAACCATGAGAGGCAAATATAGGCAAACATAGGCAACTGTGGCACAGAGCAAAATATAATCAGTATATAGAAAAGGGAAACAGCTTGTCCTTCTGCAACTGCCAGCTTCCAAGCAAACATTTACCTGAGCCCCGGCATGCAAATGATTAGCTTGGACCATAAGGTGATCAAAATCCCAACCTGATTCCTTCTTTCTTTTAGGATAGGAGGGGAAAAGAGGAGAGAGAAATGCACGTCCTCTCGGCAGACCCTTCCTTGTTCCACCCACCACGGTTATGGTAACAACACCCATCCACGTCCAGAACTGGACTGGTTTCCTCTTTCAAAGTGATTTATTTGTAAATTCATCCATGCTTATTGGTTTGTAAGCATTAGTGTTTATATATTTTTTTTTTTGCATCTTGTTCAGAATCTATTTTATATATATAAAAAAAGCAGACAGTTTATACTTAAAATAACTTAAGAAACCTGACAAAATCAATTACATAATCGCCCCAGGTGACAACTCCTTCTGGAATTGTCACTTTACCCCCTGCCCCATTTCCTTTGGCCTCCCTGCTGGCTTCTGATTTAAGATTTGTTAAAAAATAGTCCTAAATATAGTAGTGGAGTTTGGGAAGAGGAGGAAAAACAAACCCAATTATCATCAGAGATTCAAATTAGCCATTTGTTACAGAATCTAAATATTACACAGCCAACACTACCTATGGGCCCCGATCCGTCCCCCTCCCACCTGCCTGCTTGGCATTTGCTGAACCTTTCTCTCTCTCTCTCTCTCTTTTTTTTTTTTGAATGGTGCATGTGATGGGATGAGTACATTGTAAATCCAGCCGAAGCTTGTACTTTACAACAACCGAAAACCCCATCAAATAAACACTTGGATGGATGCGCCTCTAAAGGGCATTTTTGTTGCCCTCCCCACCCCAGAACCCCCACTCTTCCCTTCTGGTTATCAGCCCCCTATTCTAGCAGGTCTCTGGGAAGTGGCACCTTGGCTTCCAACCGTTCCCCAGCCAGGAGAAGCTGCTGCAGCTTCAGTCCTTGGCTCTCTTTCTACAGCCTGGGCTTGGCTTTCAGTTTCTGTTATCTGTTTAACGTCCTTGTTCCAAGGCCGCCATTGTGATTGGGGGCAAGGTACGTGTCCGTGCGGTGGACAGGGGAGGAGAAAGGGGGGGAGGAGGAGTTGTAGGAAGAGGAGGACGTCCGAGTATTCTGGCTGCCAGCCTGAGGTTGCTGCAGATTCAGGATGCTGTCAATGGCGCTCTGTAGATGCTCGTTGAGGGAGTCATCGGGGGGGCTGTCACTGGAGAAGCTGGCATTGTCCACATCGAAAGATTCGGACTTCCTTCGTTTGGCTGGGGGCAAGGGCACCTCCCAGGCGAGTTCAGAGGCCGACCCGTGGTCAAGTGGCTCGGTCTTTATCATGCGTTGGTAAAACTCATCCTCGACTTCTGCTAATTCCTTCATAAGGCCACTGGTTGAATCGTCGGTCTTAGGAGGGGCGGGGCTTCCTTGCATCACCAAAGAACGGGCATCGCTCCGGTTGAAAAAAGTATGTTTGGTGTTTCCTTCGGACCTGCTTTTCTGCGCCACAGTGGTGGAAGGGCTCCCCTGAGATTTGAGGGACGTGATCACACTTCTGGACCCTCCATCCTGCTTGATGATAAGAGAACTTGGCACCGTGTCGGATTTGGAAACGCTCCCTTTTAGAGAGGCGTCGGGAGTTTTCTCTGCGACAAAAGCGTCCACGTTCTCCCGGTACGTTTTACGGAGAGGAAGTCTGCAATAGGTCACCAGGGGTTTTTTCTCCGTCGGAGCTGCGCTGATATGGTCGACTGTCCCGTTCATTTGTCCCGCCATGGAGGTGGTGGCAGTAGCAGTCGCAGTCGTCGTGGCGGTAACGGATGAAGTCGACGAGTGCGGGTCTGCCGTTTTGATAACTGTGCACACAGGGGGTGGGGTCTGGTGAACGGGATCCAGAGCAGTGTTATGAACCACTTTGCTAAGTCCTGCTTCTTGTTTGATCTTTAGCTTCAGTCCAATCCGACTCCGAGCTTCGTAGGTTTTAATGGGCGGCTTGCTCCGAGAGGGCAGGGCATCCTCGTCGCCATCCAGCGAGGGAGACGCTTTGGCCCACGTTACGGATGGAGAACCTCCACTGTGCTTGATGACCAGTTTGGTGGGGTTGATATGAGTTGGCATCTGTACTGAAGGCGATTTCAAGTTCTCAGAGGTCAAAGGGACGTTGCTGGGCAGAGTCCCTTGAGCCGCAGAAGAAGCAAAAGTCTGTGACCGTGAAGAGGAGACATACTCATCTGCAAAAGAAAAACGCACACGGCTAGTTTAGTCCAAAGCAGATTGAGAACGTATTTTCATGACGTTTTGGGTTTGGGTAACCTGCCAAAATGACCAATAATAAGCTTCAATCTAGGGATGGCCAATTTCTCTTTCTCAGGCACTGGAATTGATCAAGTAAATCAATCCAGCCCCTTTCATAAACAGACAATTATATAACACTGCTGCCAGGGCATCACAGCAAGATTTCTGAATGGGAAAAAAAACGTAGAATGCCCTTAGAAGGGGAATATCTGACCAGAGCTTTTGACTCTCTAGAAACAGTTCTGCCATCTTGCCTACAGATACTAATATAAAATACGGAAGGAGCTCAATTGCTTCTTTTCCTTATAAGTGAAACATTATAAAATATCACACAATAAATAAAATTTGGGTATGTAAATGGACATAACAGAAAATTAGCCTGTGATCTATTCTGAGTTGTGGGTTGCTTTCTTTTTAAAGTTGTGGATGATCCTATATCAAATGGTCATTACTAATCATTACTAAACCAGAATATAAAATGTCCTTTGCATATTACCTCTGCCCTTTATGGCATACTATGGAGCATGGCCACTTCCAGATAACCATAATCTTAAGGTTATTGTCTTCACAATGAACTAGGAACTTAAACTAATTTCAAGCTGTGTATTAGGATCTGTATTTTGTTCTAAAATAAGTAACCATAATTTCTGACTTGGACAAAACAGGAAAGCCTGATCAAGTGGCAACTTCCACATCCCAGTTGTACTGTGAAGGGAAGAATAAAAACTTGCACGCACAAACATAAAATTCCCCTATGCTTTAGCTGATTAAATCAATATCTCACTGTCCAAATTCAACCTCTATTCCTTAAGTGAACATGTTTTAATCAGCACTGAAAGTGTAAAATCAAATCTTCATAAGCTAAGACCCCCAGTTAGCTTCCTCCCCATCTGATTCCTTCAAATTATCTCTATTATGATTCTCTATGCAGAAGTGCTCCTATGCTGCTATGAGAGCCAATGGAAATGTAATGGCTTAAAAGCGAACTCTTCGACCTGGAAGTCCTTCGTGTTTTATGGGACAAATGATGTTTTGAAAAAGAGAATGATGGAAGGCAGTAGATACTTTCAAAGAAGTAAGATACCCAAAAGGCTGAAACAAAATCCTTCCTTACCTGGCTTCTCCTTTGCTAGCTGTTTATCGAGCGCTAAGGTAGTTTTTTCTTCCTGTATGAACATCCTGTCAATCATCACCATCTCTGCTGAAGGACTGACTCTCTGCAATAGAAAAAACAGTATTGGCAAATGCTGTAAGAATCACCCATCTGAGCTTCTTAATAACCCATGCCCCCAAATTTGTACATCCATGGTCATGTTTTACCTGTTCAATGAGGAAAACGAGAAAAAAAAAAATCTCACCCGGGATTCCTCCAACAGGAGTAACCGATATTTGTTCAGCATGGCTTGTGTACGTTTTAACAGCTGGGTGGACACCATTTCAAATTCTTCATCTACCAGAGAAAAACATACCATGAGAAAGGAAAACGAAGGAGGGAAACTCACCTTCTCTTGAATGGGAAATGCAATAAAGAAAGCTCTCTGAATGAATTGGAAGGTGTGTTTAATTCACTAAGCATGTTGACAAAGATAACCGTTCTATACAGGTGGTCCTTGAGTTACAATCATTCATTTAGTGACTGCTTGAAGTTACAACGGCACTGAAAAAACAACTGGTCCTCGCATTTATGACCGTCGCAGCATCTCCCTGGTCACATGATCAAAATTTGGGTGCTTAGCAATTCTGGCATGTATTTATGACAGCTGCAGCATCCCATCGTTATGTGAATTTCCCAGCCAACAAGCAAAGCCAACAAGAAAAGCAGATTCACTTATCAACTGTGTGATTCACTTAACAACTACAATGATTCAATTAACAAACAAAAAAGGTCGTAAAATTGGGCACAACCACCTTACTTGGCAATGGAAATTCTGATCCCAATTGTGGCTGCAACTTGAGGACTACCTTTATGGCAAATGGAGCCCTTTATAACCTCCCTCTCGTCCACCATTCAGTCAGACATGAATAGCTATTATATTATGACATTATACGAATAGCTATGCACAACATAGCAAAAATTGTAATAACAAGCATTCAAGAGATCAAAAAGCAGAAAATTTCAATCAACCAAACAGAAGGAAGGCTTCTTCTTTATTCCCTTCAGTCATTGGATTTGGAAAGCAATCATATCTTTATAATCACTGGCCATTCTACATAGCTAAATGGCTGTATTATACAGTAGATGATAATTATCTTCTGAAGCGAGGAAACCATACCAGAATGAATGTAACATATTGAAGCACTTTGGACAGTTAGGAAAAAAAAAAAGCGGTATTAGGATCATTAAAAGATTGGGCAACTTAGGCTAAAAAAAAAATATAACAGATAGCTTGATCTTAATATATCTGCATCTAATGAGGAAAAGTTCCCAAAAATTCACCTTTCCTAGAGTCATGGGGAGAAGGCAGCGTTCCCTGGTAGACATGGTAAGGTAGAAGCCTCTGAAAAGCATCTTCAAATGACCGAAATGAAGTTTTGTAATCAGGATGCAAAACTGCTCCTTGGTGTTTATGTAGCTGTTCCAAGAAGCTAAAGGGAACAAGAGAAAACAATGAACACAGAGCATTTATCCCTATATTGTAACAAAGACGGGTAACAATTATTTCATCCTGCTAAAATCTGTAGTAAGCTATAGATAGCAAGCTGGCTGCAAAATAAAACAAGTTTCATTTTTTTTTATATTGCAGTATGCTGGATTCCTTTGCTAATCTACAAGAGATAAGAAATGATTCTACTTTCTATGTAATATATCCTGATACAAACAGGGAGTTTGGAAAAAAAATAACAACCATATACTACTGTTTGCCAATATGTTTTTGCTATCTCCTATATCTGGTTCCTGGTACCACAAGCAGCTTCTAGGACAGTGGTTCTCAACCTTTTTAATGCCGCGACCACCCCCAACCGGTCGTAAGTCGAGGACTACTCAACTGGTGCAGCACCGTTTGCAGAATGGGACTTTTGGCAGGCTCAGCAGGGCAGAGACAGCCTGGACAATTCCGATTGGCTTTTGAAAGCCAATAGAATTAGACTCTATTCAAGAGAGTCTATTCTATTGGCTTTCAAAAGCCAGCAGAATAAAAGGGAGTAGCACAGCTAAGGAAAAGGGGAAAAAAATGGCGGACTGCGTTGTTTGGCGACCCCTGTGAAATGGTCGTTCGACCCCAAATGGGGTCCCGACCCACAGGTTGAGAACCACTGTTCTAGGATGAGCCTAAGTTAAGATAAAGACCTTTACCATTGTCAGTTGTTCAACTGGTTCGCTCAAACAACATCCTTAAGGTTCTAGATGCAATTGTTATGTTCTACCAGTAATCCTCAACTTATGACCATTCATTTAGCAACCATTCTAGGTTACGACTGCACTGTAAAAAATGACTTGTGACTAATCCTCAAACTTAAACTGTCACAGTGTTCCCGTGGTGTGATCAAATTTTGATTTAAAATAGGATTCATATAATAACTGCGACAAAAAAGATCACAAAATCCGGCATGACCCACTGGCTGCCTAGCTTAACAGTGGAAGTTCTTCTCACAACTGGGGTTCCAAATTGATATCTAATATCTAGCAATTAATCTAGTAATTAACAGCTTAGTAAATAGTGACCTAATAAGGCAGAAAAAGTAAGAGACATGCATACAGATGCACATCTGTGAGTGAGAAAAAGATATACAGTCTGCTATTTCGGCAAATGGCTTTACTTTGCCTGCATGTATTTTTTCTCAGGAAAAAAAAATGAATTACGTTAGAGCAGTGTTTCTCAACCTTGACAATTTTAAGGCATGTGGACTTCAACTCCCAGAATTCCACAGCCAGCACTGAGTTAGAGCAAGAGATCATCATTCAGAAAACTTTGGATGACCATTTGAATTATGTACTGCTGACATACCCACCGACTTTTGATCCACTATGTTATAATAGCTAAATATATTTCATTTTCTCATACAACCAGCTAAAGAAATTGGCATGCCTGATCTGTGGGAAATCCCCAGGGCTTGGTTAATTTATGCTATTTTGACCTTAATACAGTATCTTTTTTTTTTTACTGTTGTGCTTCTGTTTTCTATGCTACCTGATTGTTGGATTGCTCCAGTTTAGACTTACCAGGCTTCCTTGCTCGGTTGTAGCATCGGGGGTGCTTTTTTCAGGCTTCCAAGCTTGCTCTCATACTGGCAAAGAAAGAAAAGGTAAGAACAAAGAGGCCGTTAGGTGGAGTTCCAAATAAAGCACCATCCACCTATCGAGGAAACTGGTTCGAGACCAATTCCAGTTAATAAAAAATACAGGCGGTCCTCATTTAACAATATGAACTGGTTGTAAAGCTTGGCGTCACATGATCACATCGCTTAGCAATGGCAATCCTGGCAGCCCCCATGGCTGTAGTTAAGATGGGTGCCAGAGTGTGGCTCAGGGGTTCTGCAGCATGGAGGGCTGGTGGCAAGGCCAGGGAGGAGGGCACGGTGGGAATGCAGATGGGCAGGCAGCAGCCCACCCAGGGCCTACCCCAGTGTTTCTCAACCTTGACAATTTTAAGGCATGTGGACTTCAACTCCCAGAATTCCACAGCCAGCATCGCTGGCTGTGGAATTCTGGGAGTTGAAGTCCACATGCCTTAAAATTGTCAAGGTTGAGAAACTGGCCTACCCTTGCCTTTCTGTCCAAAGACTCCTTAGGAAAAAAACAGCTGGAGCAATAGCAACTTACCCCTACAGCTTCCCTGCTGGCTTCCCCAATGACTTTGATGATGGAAAACTGGCAGGGAAGGTCGCAGATTGTGAACAACGGTTAGAAATTGTTCTAATTTACTCAACGCTTTTAATTCTCTTTTAATAAAAATGGTTTGAATATCCTGTGAAAATGTATGCCGTATTAAATCTGCTCGTTAAAGCTGCCGTTATTCTTTTTAAATCTGTCACAATGCACTAACATAGCTGTTTTTGAAATTAAATTTAACACTTGCTTTTTGTATTTTTTTTTTATTGCTTTGAGTGATTGGTTTTCATTTTGAAGGCTTTCTGGGGAATGCTGGGATTAAAATATTCCAAATAATAAGAATACATATAAAACATTTATGTGCTGTGTACACCCTACCTCTTAATTCAATATAGGAACAAATATAGTGCTGTTTTCAGACATTGTACCAAATTAAAAAAAAAATCCCTTTGTAAGATCCAATCTGTACACATTCTGGTAGAAAGAAGTTCCCCCAGGATGGGTTCCAGCATGAATCCAAAAGCTTGGAAGAACAAACCTCTGGTCCCGGTGACTGACATAGACTGGATCCTACAATATTATCCTGGACCTGTATATTGCCTTCATTTGTGGTGGGGGGAACCCTTTATCAAGTAATTCTACAATAAGCAAAACAGATGCTCACCTGCTGCTGAATTTGAGTTGGTGCTGAAGACATGACTTGTGACAAGCCTTTTCCAACTACTTGGAGTTGCAGCTGCCCTTTCCCAAGGTTCAGGCCTGATGCAGAGCTAATGACTCCAGGCTTGGCCTGACAAAAAAAAAAACACAAGAAGGCAGCTTTATATCAAATGGATTAAAAGGAAGGAATTAAAAACAAACACAGGTAGACCTTATTTAATGGCTGCCTTGTTTAGCAACTGTTCTACAAAGTAATTTTATGACCGGTCCCAGCAGTTACGACTGTCTCAGTGTCCCTGTAGTCACATGATCAACAATCTGGCACTTAAAACTATTTAAATCCTTCAGGGCCTAGATGTATACTTAGCTTTAATGTTTAGATAACTATATTCATTGACAACATTCATTACTATCTTAAAGTCATTAGTGCCTAGCATTGTCTAGTGCTAAAAACTAATGTTCAACAATAATAGCAAAGATGAATGTTTTTGCAAAAACTGATTGCCAGTTATATATATATATATATTTAATAATTTTTTATTTTTCCAAACTCTCCCCCATACATATACCCTAATACTTATCAGATATTAACATACATTCCCTCCACACTCACATACAGATACTTTTAACAAAATGAAATAAATACATACACATAACTTTGGTGTTGCTTGCCCATTTCCCCTTTCACCGTATCCACATTCCTTCTTCTTTACCTTCTTTCTCCCTTTCTTCTCTTCCCTGCTTCCCTCTTCTTCCTCTCCTCTCCTTCACCACTCTCCTCCCCTTTCCTCTTCCTCCAGCCTTCCTACTTCCTTCTCCCCTCCTTTACTCTTTTCTCTCTCCTCTCCTTTCTTCATCCCTCTTCAGATACAATTCAGGGGTAATGTCCGAGCAACTCCTCTCTCCAAATTTCCCTATCTGTATTATATACAATAAGATTAATAGTTCTATTTATCTAACCTTCTCAGTATATACTTCTATAAACACTTATACAACCTCCAGTTATTCAATACTGCGTCGCCTGGGTCTCCCTCCTTATCTGCTCCTTCTTCTTCCATCTAAATTGATGTTAACTATCTTTTAACCGTATTCTCTTTTCAGCCAATCATAAAAAGTTCCCCAAATTTCATAGTAGTCTGACTCTGTCTTATCTTTAATTGTCATTGTTAGTCTATTCATTTCTGCACATTCCAATATTTTCCCAATCACCTTTCCCTCTGGGGGGGCTTTCAGTGCTTTCCAATTTTGTGCAAACACAATCCTGGTTGCCAGTTATAACAAACCCACCTGAACTGACTGTTGTACAGCTTGAGGAATAGTGGGCTTTCCTTGCCCGGAAGTTGCTTTCCCTCCAGAAATAGTTGTGGAGCTGCTGGAAAATGTTTTACTCTCCGCAGGAACCGCAGCAGCAATTGCTGGAGAAATATGGTAGAGGAACAGACACACGTACACAAGATTTTAGAATGAGATATAGAAACATTGTCATCTTGTTTTTTTTAAGGGCTAATATCCTAGAGCAGTGGTGGCGAACCTATGGCCCGGGTGCCAGAGGCGGCACTCAGAGCCCTCTCTGTGAGCATGCGCACTGTAGGCCCTGTCCTAGGCCTTCAGCTGGGTTTTATAAAAACTTTTTGCTTTAGGCCTCCACCAATGTGTGCAAAAAAAAAAAAAAAAAAGTTCAATCAATTTCAACTTCTCGCGGGGGAAAAAAAAGATCTTGCAAAGTTGGAATTGATTGATTGAACTTTTTAGTCCCACCCAGTCTGCCGTTACTACCACAGCCACGCCCACCCAATGGGCCACACCCACCCAATGGGCCACACCCACCCGGCACCCAACAATGCATAAGTGGGTTTTGGGTTGCAGTTTGGGCACTCGGTCTCTAAAAGGTTTGCCATCACTGTCCTAGATCTTACATAATTCTGGAAACAGATAATTTAAATGGGACCAGAAGCAGATTTATCCGCATCTGCTCATGATAAAATGTTACGGGACCTGCTTGCCAGTTCCTTCTATTGGAAATTTAAATTATATGGGTAGGGAAACAACTATGTAAAATTCACTCTCCAGCCAATCTTCACCTCAAGGTTCAGAGAGCGTTATAAGATCTCAAGATATAAGATTTTAGAAAGATATGAATCTTATGCCAAAAAGAAAACTGAAATCCTGTTGGCACTTTCTAATCATTGATCTATTGCTCTTATGAAAAACAAAGCCTGTGCAGCTTCGGTCTTAGTGTTCTCACGGTATGGTTGAGGAATATAAATTTGGGGTGGGTTTGTACATGTGTACTAGATAGATAGTCCTTGACTTACAACAGTTTGTTTAACAAGATCAAAGTTACAACGATACTGAGAAAAGTGACCTATGACTGCTTTTCACAGTTGTGACTATCGCTGCGTCCCCACAGTTATGTAATCAAAATTCAGGCGCTTGGCAACTGACTCATATTTATGACGGTTGCAGTGTCCCAAGGTCATGTGACCCCCCTTTTGCAACCTTTTTGACAAGCAAAGTCAACGGGGAAGCCAGATTCATCTAACAACCATGTGACTAACTTAAAACTGCAGTGATTCACTTGACAACCGTGGCAAGCAAGATCGTAAAATGGGGCAAAACTCAGCTCCTGTGTCGCTTAGTAACGTAAATTTTGGGCTCAGCTGTGGTTGTAAGTTGAGGTCTACGTGCACACCCACACTGTTATAGAAAAGGACGAGGCAGAAAAGGGGCATCGTTGTCCCTCACCCCATTCCTTTCAAAAGCTCCATGGGGATATAACTATTAGAGCGGCTGCAGATGGGAAGGAATCTCCTTCAATTCTCATAACAAACAGATAAATATGAACAGACAAGTCAAAAGCAACGGTCCAAGGGGAATTATTCCCTTTCCTAAGGACATCAAGACGTAGGATGCTGTTGATCAACTTACATACTGATGCTGACTTGACCAACACGGGAGTTTGCTGCTGAAGAACCGCTGTACACTGTGCAGGTTGTTGTCCTCCTCCTCCACTTGTTGTTCCTCTTGATACTTGCACCTTTTCAAGCACAGGAGCTGCTTTGCTTGAACCCGTGCTGGAAGACTGAATGGTGGTGGGGACAGGCGTGTGGCCATGAACTGCTGGTGCCTGAGCTGGAGTTGTTGTCATTGTGACCGGCTGTCCTTGGCTGCTAACCAACACTGAAGAGGACTGGTTGCTGAACTGGCTCAGGGCGGGCGGTGCCTGGCTAGTGGACGTTGACTGCTTTGTTTGCAGGATAATTCCCTGGGGTATCTGTGTGAGATACAGAGGTAGACAATGAAAAATGAAATCCAAAAATTATATGCGAAGGATTGGAAAACACCCATTCCTTTGGATATAGCATTGCCAGGGATTTATCAGAACAAACCTTGGGAATGCGGAAAGTAATGTTTTTTGAGTAGATTTTCATTGATCACTGAACAACTATAATACTCACCAACACCTATGGGAAAATGGGTTAAAGTTTCTGGTTAAATCATAAGAAAGAGATACTATTCTAGACATTAACTCAAGGATCAGTTTGGTGGTTATAGATAAAGGTTCTGGGTATCGCATACAGGAGAGCCAGCTTGGTGTAGTTTAGTGAAGGCCTTGGCTAGATAGCAGGAGACCATGGGTTCCAGTCCTGCCTCAGGCAGCCAGCCAGGTGACTGTGGGCCAGTCATTCTGTCTCAGCTCTGGGAAAAAGGTAATGGCAAACTATTTCTGAAAATATTGCCAAGAAAACTATAGGGACAGGTCCAGGCAGTTTCCAGAAATCAATATTGATTTGAAGGCATCAAATAGAAAAAAGTAGAAAAGCCACCTTTGCGCCCCCCCCCCCCCATTTACGATGCTCGACACAAGTCTCTCTCGGACAGAATTTTTGCTTTCTTCTGTTTAACTGGTGGAGCAATCCAAGATGAGAACTGACTTTGGACTTTGTTTGAATTAAGTCCTTCTTGTGGCGAGAGTCAGTCTGCGCCAGCAGCAACAGCAGCGACTATTTAGATTCCACAAGTCCTGTCACATTAAACGCAGTTTGAAAATCCAACATGCTTAAAATAAAGTAAGCTATATCTCACGTGAGGTTGATTACCGTACCTGCTGAAACCGATCCATTAACTGTTTCTGCTGAGGAACAGGAGCGGGAATTGTGGAGAAAGCCTGGAACTGATTGGAAACCATCTGAAAGCTCCTCTGTTGTTCAGCTGTCAGGTGAAGTGTCTGGGTTGGGGTGGGTGGTTTGATAGGGCCTTGGGCAGGGAACTGCAACTGGAAATGGGGGGAATGGCTATGCTGCACTTCAGAAGAAGCCTGGATCTGGGGTTGCAACCGTACCTGCCCCTGAGCCTCAGACTGGGGCTGGAGCTGAGGAGCAAGCTGAACCTGCAAGGGCAGATGGGGAGGGGTGGCCAGCTGAGGCTGTCCCTCTGGCTGGGCCTGGGGGGCTTGAAACGGTACCTGAGGCTGTGAGGGAGGTCGCAGGGGATGCTGGTTGGAGCCATGAGGAGAGGAAGCAATCTGATTCTGGATCACATATAAGTTCTGCATCTGAGTTTGAGGGGTGCAAGATCGCGACAGGGGCTCAGAAGGCGGCCTGGATAAAGTCTGGGGCTGGGAAGGGGGTCTTGAGTGAGGCCGGGAAGGTGGCCGGGAAAGGGGCTGAGGCTGGGACGGAGGACGGGACTGGTGTGGGGACTGGATCTGGGAAAGGTGAGCGGGCTGGAGCTGGGGGCTTTCCCCCAGTGAGGGATGAGGTAGTGAGTGGGATGGGGAGGCTCCAGGAAGTTTCTGCTGCCCTGAAGGCAACTGAAAGAGAGGAAGAAAAAGGAAGAGATACAGGTAAACAGGTGATAAGTCTTGGGTCATGCATGACACAGCACACTGAAGTAGCTGGGTACCAGAACGCAATAGGAGCAGCCAACCTTTTGCAAATCTCAAACTCACAATTGTCAACTTATGAAAAAAAAAAACTTTTATGAATGTTTTAAAATTAAATAAAAGCTATTCTCTCCCTCCTCCCCTCTTATTTCATCCCCCGTTCATTCTGGAAGAGATCTTGTGCCACGAAGGGAAGACTTCCAAGGTAGAATAAAAACATTCATGCTGTACCACGAGGCCTACTTTTAGACACCAGCACATTTTCTTTCAATATGTTGCTTGAAAAGACGTGCCTTTTAAAATTAGGTTGGTGGAAATATGTCCGTGTTGAAATAAAATTAAAGTCACCAGGTCTTTGAAGGACAGCAAGCTGAAACTCTTTAAAAAGTCTCTGCCTTTCCCTCCTTGCAGGATTTAAGCAGAAATTTAAGTCCAAAATATTACACTAGAACAGTGGTTCTCCACCTGTGGGTCGGGACCCCATTTGGGGTCGAACGACCATTTCACGGGGGTCGCCAAACAACGCAGTCCGCCATTTTTCCCCCCCTTTTCCTTAGCTGTGCTCCTCCCTTTTATTCTATTGGCTTTGGAAAGCCAATCGAATAGACTCTCTTGAATAGAGTCTAATTCTATTGGCTTTCGAAAGCCAATCGGAATTGTCCAGGCTGTCTGTACCCTGCTGAGCCCACCAAAAGTCCCATTCTGCAAATGGTGCTGCACCAGTTGAGTAGTCCTCGTCTTACGACCGGTTGAGGAGTCCTTGACTTACGACCGGTTGGGGGTCGCGGCATTAAAAAGGTTGAGAACCACTGCACTAGAAGCAGATAGTAACAGAGCTGCTGAACTGGATTATTACCCTTCTGGGTCACCACGTCAGCAAGTTTTGAAAGTTTTGTTTTGTTTTTGTTTTTTTTGCTATTTGATACAGGAGGTCTTGTAGTCCTATGCAAAGCACTTTGCTACCCTATTCATCTTTCCTGTCTTCCTAGATGCTATTGAATCAGTCTGTTATTAGACAGATAGTCCTCAATTTAGGACCCCAATTAAGCCCAAAATTTTGGCTGCTAAGGGAGACAGTTGTTAAATGAGTTTTGCTTCATTTTATGACCTTACCACAGTTATTAAGTGAATCACTGCAGTTGTTAAGTTAGTAACGTGGTTAAGAGAACCTGGCTTTCCCCATTGACTTTGCTGATCAGAAGGTTGCAAAAGGTGATCACATGATCCCAGGACACTGGAACTGTCATAAAGATGAGTCAGTTGTCAAGCATCTGAATTTTGATCACATGACCACGGGGATGCTGCAACTGTTGTGTGAAAAACGGTCAGAAGTCACTTTTTTTCAAGCGCCACTGTAACTTCGAACGGTCCCTATATGAACTGGCGTAAGTTGAGGACTACCTGTATATCTTCACTTCCTATTGTTATAACCTTGTTTTCATAGCATTTCTACAATCTATTTTCATGTCAAGAAGCAGTCTCAAACCATTGTCTTGGAACAACAGCTATGCCACCCTTTTACACCAGGAACGCACAAGAGTTAAAGGATGTGGCAAACATTGCAATGCTTTAAAGCAGGGGTAGTCAACCTTGGCTCTTTTATGACTCGTGGACTTCAACTCCCAGAATTCCTGAGCCAGCCTAGCTGGCTCAGGAATTCTGGGAATTGAAGTCCATGAGTCATAAAAGAGCCAAGGTTGACTACCCCTGCTTTAAACATATGGACTACTGTACACGCTGGTATTAAGAAAGTCACGTTCACAAGTCACACCTCTTTAAAATAGACAACACAAATAGAGATGCAGGTTTTGGTCAAGGAGAAAAGAACCAGGAGGGCAAGGCAGGGAAGACAGGAGAAAAGCAACAAAAAGCGGTAGCAGCAAGTGCACCACTACCACCAATTCCCAGGGTTAGTTGGAATCAAAAAAGAAGCAAGCAAGAGCAGCAACAAGGAAAAAGACAAACAGTGAAGGCCACGGAGATCCAGGAAGGGCAAAGGCAGTTTTTAGCATACTTGGCCCACCAATCAGAGACTGGGATATTTGCCTTCTCCGAACTCTAGGCGGACACATATGGCTCACCTTATCATTTACAGCTGCCAGGTTTCTATTAAGAGAGATTAAGCTACCTTGTTATCTTGGAACATTTTGGAACTTATATCCTTTTACAGATATCCAGAATGTTTGCGGTATAAAATGTCATGTACCTCAGCTATCCAGGACTGCATATCGTTACAGGTAGTTCTCCACTTAGGACCTCCACTGAGCCCAAAATTTATGTCGCTAAGCGAGGCCATTGTTCAGAGAATTTTGCCTCCTTTCATGACCTTTCTAGCCACAGCTGTTAAGTGAATCATTGCAGCTGTTAGGTTAGCAACCCGGTTGTTAAGTGAACCTGGCTTCCCCATTCATTTTGCTTGTTCAGAAGGTCGCAAAAGCTGTTCACGTGACCCCAGGACATTGCAACGGTCGTAAATATGAATCAGTTGTCAAGCATCCAAATTTTGATCACATGACCACAGGGATGCTGCAATGGCTGCAAGTGTGAAAAAGGGTTCTAAGTCCCTTTTTCCAGTGCGATTGTAACTTTAAACGGCCATTAAACAAACTGTTGTTAAGTCAAGGTCTACCTGTGTTTACTAGGGCTGTACAAAGCATCAGAACTGATTTCAAAAGAGTGCTTTTGATTGGAGAGAAATGTGAATGCACTCTCCGTGAATGCACTCTCTTTAAAGCAGCCACACCTGTTTCCAGTGCCCCATGGCTGCAGCAGAACCTTCCCTACAGCAGCTGCACCATCCAAGAAACAGACCCTTTTCACAAATTGCTAATGAGGGCCACACTGACATGTGTGCATTCCAAAGCCCCTTTTCAGAATCTAATCGAAAGAACTGTGCAGTGCTCCTCTTTGCTGTGAACTTAATCTGATCTTGTTTTATTATTCAAAGTTTGTAGGATTTGCAGGTTATACTTATGAAGCCCTGCAATCCCACTCGTATCTACTTAGAAGAAATCCTGTTCAACTAAGCAGGTGCAGCCTAAAGACATACTGATGGATACAAAATGACACCCTCAAAACTTCAGATTTCTGGGTATGTGTCAATTTCTTTTAGTTTGAAAAAGAGAACTGAACTAATTTGGTTTTTTTCTTCAATTTTTATAGTCACTTCAAGACAAACATGGTTGCTACTTCCATATTCTTTTATCTGTTTTGACTCTCTCTAAAATATATATATTTGCTTCATGGAACTACAGCAACACCAAGGAAATAAAACAGTGCAGGAGGAAGTGAATGTTTACTTGTTTTGTTTCCTCTAGTTCTCTGAAATAATGTTCGGGTATGAAAGAATTTACCATTTTCAGTCAATTATTTTCGGTGTAGGAAAAATGCTTCCATTTTTGATTGTGCGTCTATTGCTATAGGCATTATAAACTTGAACAGGAGAAGATGATCTTATATTTAAACAGAAATATTTGTCCTGGTTGCTAGCCGGAAGGCAACCAACTGCTCTAATGGTAATTTCCCCCTTTGTATTATTCATACTATTTCCACGAGGGGGAGACTTCTGTTGCAACACAAGAAAATCACGTAACCACCAACACCCAAGCCTTTGTTTTGAAGTGTGGGAGAATACAAACCTAGACGAGAGGCTAATATTTCCCTCCTTCTCATTCATTCTCTGCGTTCTGCACTGAGAATGTGCAGGACAAAGCCAAGTAGGTGAAGGGACAATGAAGAAGAAGGGCAGACATGTTAGACAAGAGGAAGTAAGGCAGGAGAACAGGCCAAAGCAGGGCAATTTTAGGGATTTGCAAACAGGTAAGGTCTACCTGGCAAGCCAGTGCCTGCTGGGAAGGGCCAGTCGAGAACTGTGGTACTTTGGAATCCACCGGTAGCAGGTTGTGGTTCTGGCTCAGCTCTCGGCTGGCAGGCGGCTGCAGGGCTGTGCCTACACTGCTGCTGACTATCACCGAGGCTGGGACACTGCTTGTGGTGCTGAGTGCAGTGGTGGCTATGCTGTAGATGGGCAGAGGCATTGGCAGATGGGGAGGTACGCCAGAGTCATTCATACTGCTCTCCTGCTGCATTTTCAGAGCGGGCGAATAAAAGTGCTGCTGCTGCTGCTTCTGTTGCTGGCTCTGATCCTTCTGTAATCCAAGAGATTTAGCATGGACCATCTTCACGTTATTTGCCCACCTTTTACAATGCTGGTTATTTGTTTAGATTCACAGGTAAAAATTTTACTGGACTGAAAAACTGCAGTAAATTAGTTACTCTCCTCCCCTGCTTTCCCCTCGATTACAAAAATCAAGCTTATGTTGGAAGTCGTAATCTGAAGCTGTCACTCTGCATAATTTGGTCACCAAAAATCCTTTGGTAACAGTACAAAGCTCACAATTAATAGAAGCTACACAACCTACAGTTATAGTCACATTCAAATCAGGCTCTGGCCCTTTAAAGAATGCAGTTTCTAATCATAAAGTGATCAGAAAAGCAAACACATCCAGCCCATTCTGTCTACTTGCTGTGTGTAGATAGCCTCTTGAATTTTGACCCAGATAAAGAAGTATCAGCATTACCTGAAGAGAAATCGTGCCCTCGCCCTCCAGCCTGCTAACTTGATTATTTCCCTATTTAATTAATGATGTGTCATCAAATCAGTGTTGATTCTTATTCTTGGTATGCATGACCATTAAGGTATTTGTATTTCTTGATTTAAATTATGTCACCTATTCAGCCTTACTCTGACTCTCAAAAGGCTGAAGATTTGCGGGGGGAAGATAAGGTTACAAACGACAAGCTGTCAGAAAGAAGTGCTAAGTCTTTGGGGCAAAGTCAAAGAAGTGAAGTTTGCATTTCAAGATGTGGGAACAGGAAAAAAAAGAAGCAGAGTATAAAAGCTGCTATATTTTTGTTAATGGAAAGCTGGCCACTCCCTTTCCACTGTTCTCCACTTCGGTCAAGTCACCTTCAAAGAGTTGTCTTGAAGACGAGAAAGTTTCAAAATTAAAGTAATTCAAAGGCTTTCGAGTTGTCACGGCCACCATCTTTCTTGACTCTTTATCCACTCGTGTTGTGCTAGTAAATCCGAGTACCCTTCAAGAGACAGAGCAGACTAATCAAAGGATCAGGAATTATTTAACTTACCTGCTGTAGAAACATCTGCATGGAATCCTGGGAGATTACAGTTCCAGCAGCTGTCTGGCCCAAAATAATCTTTTCAGGACTTGATGCCACCAGGTTAGGGCTGGACTGGGAAGTCACAGGTATTTGTGCTTGTTGCTGAGGTGGTGATGTTTGCTGCTGAACGTTCAGTTGAAGCTGAGAAGGAGCGGAGGGCTGACAGGTGGACTGGACAGTTAGCATATTGGCTTGGTCACCCGGGAGTAGGTTGGTGCTGGGGGTTGACTGTGGCTGAATAAGACCAGGGCTCTGGCTGGGGCCATTAGGGGGTGCTTGTATGGTCATGGTTTGGTTGAGGCTCTCAGTAGCATTTAACATAGCCACTGGGTTAGGCAGAGTAACTCCTTGGATAACAGTCTGACCGCTCTGATTGATGGCACCACCGGTCAGCGAGGCCGCAACAGTGGGCTGGCTTTGAGTTGTCAGGCTACCAGCAAGAGATACAGGCATCTGGAAGAGAGTTGGTTGGCCCACCTGCCCTGGTTGCAACTGAATAGGTGCAGAAAGGATGTGAGCTGTTCCATGGGCGTTCTGTGAGGTGAGCACTTGTCCCAAGTTGAGCTGGCTTGCCAGATTCTGATTGGTGAGAATTTGGGCAGGCAGTGCTTGATTTGTTATTAGCTGCCCACCTGGGCCTTGGCTGGTGATGATGTGAGTTTGCCCACTAGGATGTGAGGTTGTCAGAATCTGACCACCCATGTTAGCCTGCAATGCCGAGAGCTGCTGAGGGATCTGAACTGTCGATGCTCCAGTGAGTTGGCTTGGGAGAAGGAACTGATTTTGACCCTGTAACATGGCTTGAGGGACATGCTGTGCTGGGATAACAATGCTGCTGCCTTGATTAAGCAGATGAACACTCATTGGCTTGTTCAGAGTTTGTTGCTGTGGTGGGGGCTGCTTGAACATGTTGGCAGGCAGCCCCGGGGGGAAGCCAGAAAGCACCACATTCTGTCCTGCTTTGCCTGCCATGAAAGTTAAGTTCTGCTGAGTTTTCTGTTGCTGGAGAGCAGCCTCGTTCTGGAGGGTCAGCGTGGTGTTGTTGGGGCCAAAGGGTTTGGGGGTAATCTGGTACAACTTCTGCTGAAGGACTCCTGCCGGCTTGGGTTGAATTGGCGTGGGGGTCCGGTGAATGATGACATTTTGGGCTTGAACAAGTGGGCTGCTCAAGTTTGATGTGACCGTGAGTGGTTGGGAACCCTGAGCAGCTGATACGCTTCCAAACATCGAGCTTCCGTTCAGAGTGGTAGTGGCCACTGTTGGGATGTTCTTCTGGATCATGAGACCGGCATTCTGTGGGGATACGCCAGCGGAGGCCAAGGTGACCTGTTGTTGTTCTGGTGCTGTCTGAGTAATATAACTTCCTACGGGCATAGTGGCCACTTGGGAAGGCTGAACTTGCTTCGCAATGATCTGTTGAGCAGGCTGGTTAATTGCCATGACTTGCTGGCCGACAACTTGAATCTGCCCGATGCCCAGTGCCCCGCTCGGGCTCCCATTGGGCAACCCTTGAAGGTTGGAAATCGGCTGGATGGTGACATTTCCTAAGCCAACCTGTTGAAGAAAAGGCTGCACGCTGATGGCTTTGTTGACGACATCAGCCCCGACAGACTGCTGCACCAGTGCTTGATGAGTTAGGACAGCAGGTTGCTGTAGTCCAATGAGGTCAGCCCCACCGGAAAAAATCTGTGGGGTACCATCCGAGGCAGTGTGGACCACTGGTTGGAGCGTAGGGAGCTGAAAAGAACCCAGATCCAGTTCTGCCTCTGCTTCCAGAGTCTGCTCGGTGATGTTTGCCTCCTGCAAACTCTGTTGGAGGATATCACACGGCTGATCTGAATTCTGCAGGTTGGCTCCACCTCCTGAAGGCGAGCCCAGAATGTCATCTTCCAAAAAGTCTAAATCCACACTTGTTGTGGGTTGGCTTTGCTCAGCATTCAAATGATTGCCCGAGGTTTCTTGCACGTGCAGCTAGTGACAAGTGAAAATGAAAGCACAGTGAGAACAAAATAAATATTCATAGAACAGAATTTGTGGATCTTTCTATGTTCTGCAACTTTATGTTTGTTTAGTATGTAAGTAACAATTCTATTACTCCATAACCGTATCATGTTAATGACCTTTATTATTTAATGCATAACATTTAATGGTTTACTTTTCTTTAGATGTATGTTAGCTAGGTTTAGGGGTCTCTCACATTGTAAGTTATTTAAAATATGGATGCAAATTCTCTGTGCACAGACTACATTGAAAATGATTAAAGCAATAATTGTTTATTTTTTCATTAGCGTATACAAAAATGAGCGGTAGAGCCAGAATTAGCTATAGAAATGGAGAATGCTTTTTCCAGAAACATGTTTTTCAATGAAGATCAGAAGTGAGGCATCGTATTATTTACTGTCTTTCTGCAATAACGTTGTACCAGTTTTAGAAAAGTCTCATTGTGATACCACCATATCTTGTGCTCAAATTCGCTGGAATTCAACATATTTTTTGCTATCGTGCCTATTAATATTTTGAATTGTGCATCATTACAAAGAAAGGGGTTGGGATTTCTAAACAAATATAATCTAAGCTTTTAAAATGAGGTGAAAAATACATACCCCAGCACCCTCAAAGAAGGCACTGGCTGCATCTCCCGTGTTGTCCAAAAGATCATCGCTGTCAATCTGTTATTAAAATAAAAATAAATGTTATTGTATGTAAAGTCAAAGCTGACAGTATTTGAGGAATTGGACTATCATGGAAAAGAGAGGAAATGTATAACTTTATCTGGATAAGATAATGTTTAAATTCCCTCCATGGGTAGGTTTCTTTCCCGAAGCTATGCCCATTCTTCCCTTAAGAGGTGAAATTATCTGCCTCTTCACTTTTTAATCAGGAAATAAATAGTTTATCCTCCTGCACAGTAATTTTCTGATAACATTTTCCACCATTCAAAGTTTCTGGAGGAAATGACTTGGAGAAAAGTCTGCTCAAGTCATTAGTTCTAAAAGTGGTACCATCACAATTTTCTGCATCACTTTTCTTTTTGAAGGCATATCAGCCAAGGGTAATTATTGCATAGAGGTATTTGTTAATTTAATATTTAATTTCATTTAAAATGAAGAATAAAACCGTACCTTTTCAGATCCATGTAAAAAATCATTCAAGGCCTGAGGATCACTGGAAAAACAGTTGAGATAAATTTGTTTAACGAGGACTAGAAGAATTTAATTTTATCTATTGCCTTCATAGCTTACATTAGTGTGCAACATTGATTTATTGGTATTCTGGCACAATATACTTATTATATAGAAACACAAACCTATATGTATAGGTAAGCTAAAAGGATAGACGTAAACACATATATAAAATTAATCTCCATTTTCGTAAGTTTCAGTGATTTCTTGGTTTCTCTATTACTTTGGACCACAAAAGCGTTTGATTCCATTTATTTCGGAGTTTAATTCTTAAACCATTCATGTTTACTTACATGAAGCAGATAATGTGAAATATTGTTCTAAAATATCATAACTAAGTTATTCCTCTTTGACCTGTTATCTAAAACATTCCTCAATGTTTGCACATCCGAATAATTCTCAGCATTCCAAAGCCAGCTTGTTAGAAATTCTGGCATATATAAAGAATACCAAGTTGGGGAAAGCTGGTCTACTATTTTCGTGTATGACTGTTCTATCCAGCTGTCATTATAGACATAATTCAAAAGCTTCTGGTTCTATTCTCACCTCCAAAAAGCTTAAGAAAAAGCCAAGTGGCATTCAGCCAAATTTCACTTGGAATAGCAACTAGTGGTCACATAGGAGACATTCCAAGTTTACATACCAAGCATGAATGAAAAAGTATTTGGTTGACATTTGTGAAAATGAACAGAAATCTCCGACAAAATGCTTGTCTAGAACAAGAGTGTAAAAAGAAATTATTATATCAATCCTGTCAAGAGCAAATACTTACCAAATTACATCTAGCAAGCATCGTCCATCTTCATCATCCATGTCAACTGAAATGAGATATCGGAGTCCACATTTAAAATGGTAAGATACCATATTCAGATAGTCCTCAAACAGTTCATTTAGTAACCGTTCAAAGTTACAACGGCACTGAAAAAAGCTACTTATGTCCATTTTTCACACTTTTTTTGCAGCATGCCCATGGTCACATGATCAAAATTCAGGTGCTTGGCAACTGACTCATATTTATGATGGTTGCAGTGCCCTGGGGCCACGTGATCCCCTTTTGTGATCTGACCAGCAAGTCAATGGGGAAGCCAGATTCGCTTACAACCAGATTACTAACTTATCAACTGCAGTGATTCACTTAACAACGATGCCAAAGAAGTGGTAAAATGTGGAAAAATTCCCTTAATAACTGTCTCCCTTAGCAACATAAATTTTGAGCTCAATTGTGGTCATACGTTGAGGACTACCTGCAGTGTGTAAGATGCTAGTTCAAACTATTATAGCAAGCTTATATCCACAAAAGTTTCTACATGCATTTTTTACAATTTAAACTATGCTAGTTTGGGGCAAGTCACCCTCATTTATACTTTTATTAACCTGAAAGAATTTGGGACTTCAAATTATTTCCAGTTTTGCTTCTATCAGTTTTTAGTACTCAGTGCATATTAAAAATGACAGTTGTTGAGAATTGTGGTACTTGGCCAATTTTGTAATCAGGCATATGCTACTAATTATTCTTTGGAACTGGCAATGCATCCATCCAAAAATGAGAATTGTGTCTTTTTTTCTTTGGTGATAATCTAACTATATTTTATTATACATACAGTATTATCACAAAAATTATCACAAAAATCTAGGGAAAGACCTTTTGCCGAAATTTATTTCTTGTTTGGCAAAGATACTATAGTGTTTTATGAATGTTTAAGACAAAAGCAGTGTAAAAAAAAAATATTCCCCATGCCCAATCCAAAGCAGCTCATATTAAGAATGCCAATTTTCAATTTAAAAATCATTCCAAAATCAGAAAAAACAGCAACCAAACAGATCAACCATTAGAACTTGTTTAACATCTTAGCTCAAATGTCTCGTGACAATATTAGGTATGTTGCCTTGAGTTGACCAAATACATAAATATATAAAAGGGAAAGGTGGCATAAAATAGTATCTGGACAATACCAATTGAATTCAAGCCAAGAAAACAACAGAAAAAAAATCAGCGACTGTGAAAGAAAGTTCTTATTCTGGGGAAGTAAAGCATTCATTTAAAAACACTTGTTTTAAACCTGTTTAATTATCTTCCATAATCTACAGAAAGAAGAATTGCTCAAAGTTCACAATGCTTCTGAAATATTGAAACAAAATGGATACACTTGCTAGGTGTAGCTAGTCAAGATTCCGTAATCAAAGTTTTGAAAGCACAAGTTATTCTCTTGGATATATACTCAAGTTTCAAAACTAAAATGTGAACTGGATTCAAGAACTTTGTTCAATCGTAAGTGCGTATCGAAATGCAGATAAACACACTATCAGTGTTAATCTTAACCAGTAGAGCCTGTTTAATATTCTAATCAAGGAATAGAAAGAGATAACACAACATATACATCCAGTGCGAGGGATACAGCATTTGTTGGACTTCATTCAAAACTACGCACAGAAGAAATGCTTCAACTTGCAGGCCACAAAGTGAGTGATGCCAAGTGCAATTTTCTGACACACACCTCCACTTTATCACTACAGAAAACACGTCTCCTTGACACTTGAGTTTTGTCTGAAAGACAAGTATCCTCATTACTGCTTGATATAAATCAGGCTGGCACAATACATGGCCCATCAAGTGGCCTTGTGTGGCCTGCCAACGTTTTTTAAAAAGTCAATAAATTCACTGCTGTCCCTGCCACCTTAAAAACACTCTGCTCAGCCTCTCCAAACCTTTAGCCTCACTACCAGGTTGTTAAACAGCTGATCAGAGCCCCAAGTATTACTTTGTGGGTTCATGATTAATTTTATCAGTGTCGCCCTTTCCCCACTCCAAGTTGTGAAAGCTTAGTGTGCGTTGTTTCTATTCCTTCTAGAATTCTTGAACCAGTTGTCTTCCAAAATGGCTGGAATTTTTTTTTGGCATCTTTTCAAAAAAATTAATTTCCAACCTACTTAATGTTTCAATATCATTAAATGGCATAATTGTATAGACAGTTTACTGGGATCAATTGAAAAAATCAGAATGATTAAAATATTCTATCACACTTCCTATCGACAATGGTATTTACCTGAAAAAAAGACTGCTTGACATCCCTGGATGGGATTGTTTCTGAAAAGACAAATTTGCAAAGATCCATAAAAATAACAACCTGGTAAATTGTGTTTATTCATTAGCTGATCAAAAAGCATGGGGGAACGTCTGCTTAGTAAACCAAGTGGAAGTAGTATAAACAAACTTTAAGTGCATTTTACTTTGAAATCCACAAATTTGCTGGACACAGGAAACAACTTTTTTTTTTTTTTGCTGTGAAGAATGTGATGTGTTTATTGTCTTCTAAAGGACAAAAAGAAGTGTTTTTCCACTTGTGTTACACCTTGGAACCACTAAGAATGCCTCTAGAATTTAGCACAACCTTCCCCATCCTAGAACTGAAAAAAGGACAAGGGGTAAATCTAGAGTAATGTTGGTAACTTTGAGATGTGTGGACAATCCAGTTGGCTGGGAGTTGAAGTCCGCACATCTCAAAGCTGCCAAGGCTGAAAAACAGAGGTCTCTAGTCCTTGTGCTGGGCTTCAGAATGCTAACAGCTCAAAGCTCAGTTCAACTTCAAGAGTTCCTGCACCTCTCCAGTGGAAAAAAGATTCAGTTGTAGTTGCAATAACTTAAGCTAGATAGCAAGGCAGCCCTAATGCATGCATCCCACGTTGTGGTAAGGGCAAAGTATTTTTCAAACCCCAATACTTAGGAGAATTCATTTCCAAATATACCATATACTTTTTTCTGGGCTCAAAATCTGGCAGTGTTAACTCATGAGGTGTGGACATGGCTCACAGACGACAGTCAACGAGAAAAAGCTTGAACAAATTATTTTGATCTAAAGGAAGACATGCATATGTAAATTTTGGTATATATTGAGTAGGTGTCACTCGTTCACACAATCTGCAATACAGAACATATACAAGCCACAATAAATAGTTCAGAGTATGAAACTAGAAAGTTGTGCTCTATTCTGGTATCAGTGACCCAGAAGTTTTTCATGTCATCCTCTGAAGGAAAAAGTCATATCCCCCACTAGTTTCACTACATTATAATTACTTTCCTATTCTTACTACCACCATCATTGTCTCTCCTATTCACCACATCAGCCTGATGAATTTCAAATCTTTCCAACATGGGATTTTTGAAGTTGCTTTTAAACTACAATCATCACCTCTGAATTTCAAACAGAAGCTAAGGAAATTAGCAGATTTCTACATTTAAAAGTCATATCCCCCACTAGTTTCACTACATTATAATTACTTTCCTATTCTTACTACCACCATCATTGTCTCTCCTATTCACCACATCAGCCTGATGAATTTCAAATCTTTCCAACATGGGATTTTTGAAGTTGCTTTTAAACTACAATCATCACCTCTGAATTTCAAACAGAAGCTAAGGAAATTAGCAGATTTCTACATTTAACAGCAAAACAGCTTTTTGGCTGATAGCCTTGTTTAATACAACAATAACCAATCAGGTCTAATGAATATGAGTTCCCTTTTACTACCAAGGAAGGAATCTTCCTCATCAGAGATTCAACATTAACAGAGCAATACCATTAAATTTACTGGAAAAATCTGGATTAAATTAGAAATCACTTAATCTGAACGAAATAGTAACGTAGCTGTTTATATCGAATAGCAAGATGAATAGCAAGATAGATTTAAATCATTCAGCTTAATTCTTTTACACTTGCCATGTCCTGATATACAGTATTCATCCCAGTATCTCTCAACTCAGTGTAAGAAAACTGGTGTAAGGGCAAACCAATGTGGAAAAACAAAGATATTAAGACAATTCAGAAAAATTCAGAAATTTTAGTCACCACAATTATTTCCTAGTACTTTGGATGAATATTGATTAGTAGAATAAAAATATCAATACAAATGTCTTTACATTCACACAAAGACAGAATATTTAGATATAAAGGGACTTAACTTCCCAGAACATTTGCCAACTGACATAAAACATCAATCTACAATCTGACACTGATAACGTATTTCATTTCTTAAGATCCACTTTTTTCTTGTATTTTCCTAACTTCTAAATCCAAAGAAATTTCAACAAGCACAGAGCACCCATTAACACATCCCAGAGGAATTCTTTTTCACTTCATGTGAAAAAGCACTTTAAAAACGTGAATAGCAGGCTTGATAATTACCCAGATATTGTATTGAAATGAGAGTTCAGCAAAATAAAAAAGATGACTCAGATCATATAAACACATGGTGGAAAAGTAAAATCTCTCCCCCCCCCCCCCATGGCAATTTTCTCTCTTTCCCAAAGCAAAGTTCTGGTTTTTCCTAAATGTGGCAAAGCTTCCTTGTAAACCAGCAAGGCAGTGATGTCTCTGTAATAGTGCCTCCTCACCCCAGCATATTTCTCATGCATTTAAACTAAGCCAATCAAAACTTTGGCAGTACAAATCAATCTGGGTTCAGCCAGACCCATAGGTTACACAGTATAGCTAGCAATTCAAGGAGCAGCCATAAAAACATAAATGTCTTTCTTTTGCACAAAGCAATTCCATTACGTAACAGTCACGGTTATGTCTCATGTTCACAGAGACAAAGAAAAGCTGTGTTATGTATTGTGGAAGATGTGCAGTTGGTTTGGTCTGCAACATTGATCTTTAGTGAAGCTGATAGAGTCAGGAAGGGAAGCGCACTCTTATCAGCAGACATTGCTCTTTTGAAAGACAGCAGAGCAGTTGTCCTATGCCAATTTTCCACAAATGGACATCCCTTGGATGTGCTGGATTCCACTTCCCACCATTTTCATACTTCTTTGGGAATGATGGGCATTCCAATAATTGTCGGGACTCTTGATGGTTGCCTGGACAAGTCCCTGTGATTTTCTTGGCAAGGTTTTTTTGGGAAGTGGTTTGCCATTGTTTCCTTCCTAGGGTTGAGAGAAAGCGACTGGCCCAAAGTCACCCAGCTGGCTTCATCCCTAAAATAGGACTAGAACGCAGTCTCAAGCATCAATAGTTTTACTGAAAAAATTAGGATTTAGAAATTTCTGGTATCACTCTACTAAAGAGAAATCTATTCATATATACAGAACCAGATAGGTATATATACACATCAAATCCTGAAGACTTTGAATGATGCAATATACAGCTATAAAACCCTCAAAGACTAATTGTGTTCAAGGAAGTAAGGATAGCACATTCGACTGGTTCACAATTACGTGAGAGCATGTAAAATATTAACATCAACAGTATTTTCATTTTTCTATGTACAAAATACAAACAATCAGGATCATTAGTACAATATGATTAGTTAGCACCTAGCCAATTTTGTTTAATAGCAACAGTAGTGATACACCAACTGTGATTTCCTTTTTTCCATATAGAAAGGCAATGCTAAATGGAATGATTCAGTCTCCAACTGTACAGCATACTCTGTGTGTGTGTGTACATATAGGCCACACAATACTATTATTGCTAGCAAAGCCAGAGACTTTCAAACCGCTAACTATCCAAGATCTATTACAGAACAACTGATATCTGACGCACCATTTTCTATGAATTGACTGATTGCTTTTCTCCAGATTCATCTTAAAATAATCACAACATTGCTCAGGGAAAAATGATATACAGAAACAACAATGCACACAACCAGGTCCCAGAAGACTTTTATGGCAAGCAGCTCTAGAGCTCATGAGCCTTACTGCAGAGAAAACTTTGCGCCTTCTCATTCTGCATGTATTTTGAGGCAAGAAAATGAAACACCGAGACTGAACTGCTATCATAAATGAAACAGAAGCCTCGTTCAGTTCTGTTACTAGTTTTTCACAGGTACTGCAGAAGAGATGCATATCTTGAGTAAGGGTCAAATGATTTCATACTCACTAGTCTTCCACGTGCAACTAAATTTTGGTAACGCATCTTATTGTATGAACTACTACAGCAACAGTCATTCAAGCCAACCAATGGTATCTGCAGCTTATTCAATGCCAGGTTATTTTAGGTCAAAAAGTATAAGTCAAAAGGAGGAAAGTCATTATGAAAGAAAGGAAGTTGGATCACACTAGCTCAGATACACAATAGAGGGCCAGTTTCTTTCTTTAGAAATACAGATCCCACAATAAGTTATTTTCAGATGCAAAAATACAGTCCAGTTGATGTTAAAGTTATATTCTTTATGTTTAATTACTGTTGTTTTGTTAATTGCGAAGTCGTATCCGACCCATCGCGACCCCATGGACAACGTTCCTCCAGGTCTTCCTGTCCTCTACCATCTTCTGGAGTCCATTTAAATTCACACCTCCTGCTTCAGTGACTCCATCCAGCCATCTCATTCTCTGTCGTCCCCTTCTTCTCTTGCCCTCCATCTTTCCCAGCATTAGGCGCTTCTCCAGGGAGTCCTTCCTTCTCATTAGGTGGACAAAGTACTCGAGTTTCAGCTTCAAGATCTGGCCTTCTAAAGAGCAGTCGGGGTTGATCTCCTCTAGGACTGACCGGTTTGAACGCCTTGCAGTCCAGGGGACTCGCAGGAGTCTTCTCCAGCACCAGAGTTCAAAGGCCTCAATTCTTTTGCGCTCAGCCTTTCTTATGGTTTTAATTACTGTACTTTCTCCCTTTTCCTGTTATTCTACAGAACCCCTTGTGATGACATGGTGCCCCCCCCAGGGAGTCTGCGGACAACAGGTTGAGAACTAGAATCTATATATTCAGTCTATATATTCAGTTGTCAACCACTAGTTTTCACATCTCTCCTCAGGCAACAGCTTCTTTCAAGGATCCTTCACAGAAGCATTTCTTACAAGTAGACCTTGACTTATGACTGTAAGGGAGCCTGCCCATCATGGTTATAAGAGGCGGCAAGTCATAAAATGGATTGGTCACATGATCAACCTCATTTTACAAACTTTTGTGGTGATCATTAAGTGAACACCATGGACATTAAGTGAAGTAAATGTTGGTTTTTGGCAAAGCCACTGTAAAGTCCAGTCACATGACTGCAGGGAGGGGCAGGACCATCAGAACTTTGAATCTGGGTTGTAAGTAGTGCCAGGGTAGGCCTGGCATAAGTTCGAACGGTTACTAAGCAACCGGTTGT